GTTACGGTACAACTGAATATGTTAAAGTTAGGAAAAGATAGACAGCCCTTCATTATAGTTTGCAATCAATGTAGAAATGTTCTGCACTCAGCATTAAAAACAACATCAGGATTTTTAACACCAATATAAAGTCAAATGGAAATGCATTGAACACAATGGAGAGGCTGTTGACCAATATCATGCACTAGGCTCATCCTCGAGTGATATTCGAATGGGAAATTGTTATGTACTGGTCGAGAATAATAATAGTCCTGACGCAAGAAAGACGGAAATCAGAAGACCACTAGGTTTGCGATGATACTTCTATATTCCAAACACAAGGAGAATCAAAATGTCACACAAGAGTGAGAGCAAAAATATAAGAATGTCCGAACAAGTGTGTGAGCGAATATTCAAAATGAACAAGTCAATAGACAGTCTTAACATGATTGGCTAATCATAATGGAATATCGATCCATATATACATAGCAAAATATATCAGACTGTCAAACAAACACACATATTATATGGATATATATCAGAAATGTTGAATTGAGTGACACGGGGCCGATCATGTCATGAGGGGACAGAAGCTTGTGAGTACTCGTGGAATCAGCTAGAGAGGACTACAGAAAGCAGGATAAGTACAAATGTGCTGCTCAGGGGGCCTATGTTCCATCTGGAACTCAAGGGAATAATAATAATAACCCATGTCTCAGGCTAAATAACATGCATAGCTATGTATTCACAGAATATTGTCATTGTGAATCAAAGCCATCAATGTATATACTGACTTCACACCTTGAGGCAGTAGACCCTAACGTCACTCGGCACATCTTGTCATTAAAACTTCGAAACAACCAATCCATCTCGAATTGACAAACTATCATTTTTATTGTTATTACCATTATCGATCTAACGAAGTGATTACAGTGAAAGGTGAAAAGAAATTCTATATTATGGCAGAATTCCAACTTCAGGAGTGTAGTTTACTAACCCCGGTGCTTCAGAAGCTAGGCTACCATACGTAATTGCTGAGGAAGTCATCATCTCTCCCTCTCTATTTCGGGTAAGGTGTAACTGTGTCATGTGTATAAGTGAATGAAAGATACCTTACCGTCCTTTCAATGTGGCTTTAGCCGCGCAGCTGTCATATATATATCCATATTTGATGTTTGTGTCATGCTAGTCTGTTAAGCATGGAGGAGTAATATTTACCTGACATAGAAGATCTAGGGCTGGTCACATCAAAACTTGCAACTAGCCCCTAAAATCTTTGACTTTTTGTTTGAACCGGTGTTGTGATAGAGTGTTACTGAATTTTTGAGGACGTCTGATTTGACTAGAATCCGCTTCCAGAACCCGACACTAACTCCGATAGTGAGGAAGACTGAGAAAAAAAGACAACCAGAACGATAACAACCGTAAGCAGCGGCTTTATCAGACTGTAAATATACGGTATCTTATATTTACAAAATTTCGGAAATTTAAGCTTTCTTTGTATCCGGAAGGTTCTGGGTTTAAACCCAAGTGGGTGCGTACTGCGGATAATTCTCAAACTAGGCTGATGGTACAGCTATCCAATATTCCCTGCTGTGGTTTTCAATAGTTCTTTAACTGATATCAATCCGTGGTGAAACTCGTGTAAACAAATCTGTTCGATTTTCTGATCTTAGAAAAATGAAGTCATAAGGTTATCGTGTCAGTACATGCAGGCATAAATCACGACTTGACAGCTAACAATAAAGCTTGTCCCTCCTAATGGCTAATCACACAGGTAGATACATGCATACTACCGCCTACCTAGGATTCCTTTAATGGGCCTGTGAAGTAGACAGCTAATGAGATAAGCCTGGAAAACGTCCTCAATATCTTCCTCATAATACTTGACAACATAAACCGCTCTTGCACTTTAGTTAGTGTAATGTTCTATGTTGAGAATTCAGTCAGTCAATCAATCATCTTGAGTAAAATTCACAATTAACTTGTGTCTCTTTTTTTGCTTTATTTAACTTTAACTTCATTCTTATAATGTATGTTTTCGTGAATCAAAGGTTATTTCATAAGAGTAATGTTATATTATAAAAAAAATAATGAAAAACTGTGTGGTACTTTTAAAGCGTTAAATTTAAAATAAAATACAAATTGAACTTAATGTATCAATCAATATTAAACAATGAAATATACTAAAGGACATTCTTCTTCGGGTAACAAAACTGCAGCAGCTCTTACTCTGTGTGTGTGTGTGTCTGCGTGTGTGCGTGCGTTATTGTCATCAACAAATCACTGATACCTTGGTCACAAAAGGTAACTTGCTGGTTGTCTTCCTTATTTGCGGGTAGAAAACAGCATCCTATTTTGAATGGGGGTAGCGCGTTCCACTTCGTTGTTAAACACGAAAACTGGTGTGCATCAAGGCGCTGGCTGTACTGTCTCCATTCCTTGTTTTTTTTTCCTTTCTCTATGCATAGCCTCCCATATTCTTGCAAAGCTAACTTCATTAAATATGTCAAGGATTTAACCTTTTTTTCTCCCAGTGGTTTCTTATATGATTATAGATTCTTGTCTGAGGTTAACAAAACAGGTCTCCAAGGGTTGCTTTGTAGGGATTTGATTGGTTTTAGGATTTCATCATGAGCTGACATTAGTTAGCGAACCATTGGAAAACCTTCACTGGAGTACTGGACAGCTGTTTCGTCAGTCTAGTTCGGGACCTGTTTAGCAGTACGCACCCACCGGGATTCGAACCCAGCATTTTCCGGTTACAAGGCGAGCTCGTATACCATTAAGCCACTGGGACCCGATCCAATGGCCCTTGAATTCTAACTTCTGCCAATTCACGACATAGCGCGACCGCTAGCCAACGTCTTCGGCGAGTATTTCTCCTCATCCTGAAAACAGGTCTCATCTAAATAGTCTTGAACTGAATCCATGTAAATGTTATATTGTTTTAGATGCGGAAATGACTTGCGTGAACTTACTCACTCGCATGATTCGTGTAATATTGATAACACTGTGATAGGGAGTAAATAGAATATATCTTATTACGGCATCATTTTCTCTTTGAATCTTTGTTAGTCGTCACATTGTCCTGTTGATTTCTAAGAAAATTTTTCGTTTGACTTATAACGTGATGAAGTTGAGACCTTTTGGCATATCTCAATCTCTTCTTTTACAATTTATCAATTCATGTATTCTGTCCATTGTCCTTTATTGTTCGCCCCATTTATTCTTCCCTGGTGGACTTCTCGAAAAAGACTATGTCATATTACGTAGAACACTGAAGGCTATCAGTTGGGCTAGTGGTGTATGTGCCTTTGACTCAGCTAACTGACATTGTTGTTGCTGTTGTTAATAGGCACTTCAATTCTTACAAGCAGTCATTTGGTTAAAGTTATCGTGTCTGATACTGAACATTCTCTCTGCTAATTCTCAACTTTTGTCTTGTTTCTCTTCAGGCGGGGGGAGGGGTTAATACCAGAAGAAACTTCATAAAAATTTATGCTCGTACAATTAAATTTAAATATTCTATCATATTTAGTGAGGGTTTTGTGTGAAGACAGAGTCAGATGTCAGAAAAGAACTTCTAGATTTTTTCAGTCAGTAACTGAACTGTAAAGTATATAAGCAAAGCTTATTATCAGTATTACTTGTATTATCTATGATACTGTCTACTTATACTTCATTGTGTTTCCACCAACATTCTGTTTATAGTGGTTTCATTATTAATATCACCATAATTATTACTATTTTAAGTTTTATGTATGTACATATTTAATAAAAAAACGGTTGCAGTGAAGAAAATTTTCTTTTCGACGAAGTCAACATCAACTAGGGGAGCTGTACATTTTCGTGTATTTATGATAAAACGGTGGGAAAGTTCCAGAATCATTTCAGGTTAAGGGTCAGATTAATAAAATTACAATTAGGAATTAAAATGCCACAATAAACAGGGGGAGGGACGGATAAAACTCAAACAAAGTAGCATCATAATTACTGAAGAGATTGACATATTGTGCAATTGGGGGTTAGAAATGTAGAAATAACAAAAGTAGACAGGATGTTTGGATAAAAGTGTCTACATTTCTAACCCCCAGTTGCGCAAAATGTCAATCTCCTCAGCAATTATGATGCTACTTTGTTTGAGTTTTATCCATTCCCCACCCCTGTTTATTATGGCATTTTAATCCCTAATTGTAATTTTATCAATCTGACCCTTAATCTGAAATTATTCTGGAACTTTCCCAGGCGTTTATCATAAATACACGAATGTACAGCTCCTAGTTGATGTTGACTTCGTCGAAAAGAAGATTTTCCTAGCTGTAGTCGTCGTTTTAATGATTCCTATGATCCAATGTATATATTTATAAAATTGTTACAATATGCATTATAAAAACGCTGGAAATTCCGTTCTTTACTTTACTTTGAAATGAAGTGTTTAATATTATTACCTAATATTGGATTTTTGTGTCTCGATGGCTTTAATGATAGACTATACCCGCCAACCATACACACATGCGGTCCGGGTTCGACACCTGGTTGAGGATAACGTATTCTCCTCAACCTCGCTCAGCAGGTAAGTAGTAAGCCTGATGAAGGGGGAAAATTCAGTATGAGTGGAATGAGACTATACCAACGCCCCTATCCTGTTAAGACAATAAGACATTTGATTGTTTTGATATGATCTGTTGAACAGCGGTCACAGTTATTCTTGAAATGCTGTCTCATTAAAAATAAATTTATTCTATAATGGGAATGTTCATTTCTACCATGATAAACACCCAAGTTATATTCTTATAGCTGGGAGATTATAAGTCAATCAGCTTGTATATTGTTTTTACTGTCATCCTTTCCATAACCCCTGATATTTGACCTTTTTTTATTATGTAACATATTTCACCTTTTAGCAATAGGATGACTGATTCACTAGTACAAATTCTCACTTGAAATAATTCAGTTAACAAAATTCTGTATTCAACATTCACTTTTTTTTATTTATTTTCCTGCCTGTTATAATCTAGATGGCTTCAAAATTTCCAGTCTGAATTAAATCGTCTTGATGCAATTATACAACATTGTCTTCGTCGTATGTGTCGGGTGACAACAACAGGAACATTAATTTCTCAACTTGGTGAAGCTGGTTCAACCTATGCTCGGTGAGTAGAGAAGAGTCTTTACTAAAGAGGTTAATGGCCTATCATATGTAAATAAGCTACCTATTATTGTATGAAGATTGTAGTAGACTTCAGTGGTTACCGCGGCATTATACTATCGGCTATAGTGTCAGTTGTACACAGATACACTATTCAATATTTGGGCGGTCAATACACACCTCTACTTCTATGCACACTGCATTCTTATAACAACAGTCCCTGCTTGAGATCCTGAAGGTGTACTAATGAAGAGTCCTAATCTGGAGCGAAACAGCTGTCCAGTCCTGGCTGATGGTTTCCAGTGATTCTCTAACAAAAGTTAATTGGTGGGTGGTGACTAGTAGTGGAATCCAGGATAAAGCACATTTCGTCCTATTTGGAACTCGCCAACTGGATGTACATGCATTCCGCAGTTAGTGATGATGTTCCCACTGAGGCGCGAACCCAGTGCCCATAGTTTTCAATACCAAAGTGTTATACACTAGACCACTTGGGCCACGAGAGCTGGCCACCTCTTGTGCAACGAGTCATATTAGTTATTTAAATGAATTTTAGATTTTCCCGTCGATTGATTGCACCGGTCTCAGGTTGATATGTCTGTCGGCTTCTTGTGCAGATGCTTCGACGATGTCTGGGCATGCTATTAGAAGTTAATTGGTGGCTTTTGAAAGTATGGGCAACGGGTTGGAGCCTTGTTTGGAACATCATCACTCACTATGGAATTCAGACATCCAGAAGACAAGTCCCAGATGGGAAGAAATGGACATCCTGGATTCCACTGCTAGTCACCATCCACCAATTAACTTTTAATTACCTGCACAGACATCGTCGTAGCATCTGAACAAGAAGTCGACATGTCACCCTGAGGCCGAGCACTTCGGTTGAATCAATCGACGGGAAAATCTAAAAGTGAAGTAAATGATTCTCCAACGGATTTGCTGGGTTTCACAAAGTCTTCATTCAAACCATGTCGTCATCTGTCAAAAGTATTCACTTTTAAAATTCAAATGAACATATTATTATCATTGCGTAATCATTACAAGTGTTTTTGATATAAGTTGCAGGAGTAGGAATTTAACTTTTTGTCATTGTTTAAGGGTAGGATTTCTCTATAATTTTTCAGTTGAATTAGAATATAACTCAATAAACTTCCCACCTGGCAGAAAGTTCACTTCCACAGGGTAGTTGTGTATGTTCCAGTTTCTTTTTTCAAAGTTTATTATCATTGCAATACACATGCGATCTCTATCACTGAACCTGTTGAGAACCTCCTGATATCTAACAAGTATACACAAGGCAGTGGTGATGAATACAGTAAGCATCATACACCATGGGGGGTGGGGGGGCCTTTGAGTGGACGCATAATGGGAAACAACGAGTTAGGAGTCCCAGAGCGACAGGGAGGAAATTGTGTATAAAGAGGAACATGAAAACTTATCTGCAGAAGTAAGTACCATGGAAATGCGCTGTAGGAAGAGCTGTGTTCCACACGGAACAGGGAATAGTCTTATGGACTTAGAATATGCAGATGACAAAGTCCTGTTAAGGGAGGATGCTGACAAAATGCAGAGTCTTCTGAACACCTTGAGCAGCAATCTCCGTATGTTTGGCATGGGATTCGCCCCTACAAAATGTAAGATGCTGCTACAGGACTGGACCACGTCAACTCCTAACTTAGTGATAGGGAATGAAGTGATAGAACATGTTGGCCACTTCACCTATTTGGGAAGTTGTATTAGCACCAACGGACTGATTGGCGATGAAACCTCAGCACGGATCCGAAAAGCTCGAGCTGCTTTCGCTGAATTACACCATCTCTGGCGTAGGCGTGACATCCGGTTATCAACCAAGGGACGTGTGTACTGCTCATCAGTTCGCTCCGTCCTTCTCTATGGCTCTGAAACATGGCCAATACGCGCTGAAGACATGAAAAGGTTGACTGCTTTCGATCATAGATGTCTGCGATCTCTGTCTCACGTTAGGTGGTTTAATAAGGTAAGTAATGTTGACGTTAGGCGTAGAGTGTTGGGAAAAGAGGGAAAATCAATCGACGAGGCTATAAAGTTACATAGACTAAGATGGCTAGGTCACGTGCTGCGCATGCCTAACCATCGCCTCCCCCGACGGGCATTGTTAGCTGATATAGGTGCAGGTTGGAAAAGAGTAAGTGGTGGCCAAACAAAAACATGACCTCATCAATCCATGAAATCCTTGACAGTTAAACTGAGTCAGGTAGGGAGATGCAGACCCCCGGGTTGGGGGCCTCGGGACTCTAGGAATCAATGGCTGGAGACAATAGGTGACATGGCTCAAAATCCTTGTCAATGGCGCAGATGTATTCAGTCTCTGTAATCTTTCATATTCCTTTCTACCATTACCCATTCTGTTTCACTCTTATACTTGTCAGACTGTATTGATTCTCTTCACTCATCTTCTTGTCTACCTCTGTGTGCTATTTGGAAGGTGGCAACTCGAACTGCTGCACTTCGGAGCCAAGTTCTATGTTGAATCCAGACAGACAGACGGAACAAAAGTCATAATAATAGTAATAATATAATAACTTAAATGGTAGAATTCAGTCTGCACCGAACAAAGGACTAGACACATAGTACTATCTAGTGTCCCGTAAAAGTATCCATTACAGTCCTGCAGGATATGGTCAATTACGAGTCCAAATAATTCATTGGTAACATCTCTGTAACACGGGCTTGGATCTTTAAAAGGACATAAGTTCGTTCAAGATTGCAGATGCGTCTTGCTAAGTGGTAAGTACCAGGCAACAAGCACGAAAATTAGGTCTAAATGAGGTTTCCTTTCGATTGCCTCCAACCATGTAATATGATGACTTCATTGCAATAGGAAGAGGTGTTTGATGAAATCGAAAGACGATATCAGTTGAGGGAATTTTCTTCTTCCGATAATGTCATCACCAACTAGGCTGTACATTCATGAATATTTTACATCATAGGGGTTGAGGAAATGAGAGAGTTGTGAAAATAGAGACAATCCTATATCCAATAGGTGGTAAAAGGAGATAATCACAGGGAAGTATTTGGATAAGTGACATAACTGAAAAATCCAATAGTGATTTTTCTTGACCAAACAGATTGGCTATGATATCTATGGTTGTTTGGTTGGTTGGTTTTTGAATGATGAACCAAATGGACAGGCATTAAACTGCCTGGTTGTCGCTACCTTGGGATGCTCAGAACCAATTGCTTCAGACTGTTTATGATCTGGTTGAAAATCGTTCTCTCCGGTACAAGTGCATTCATTCTCCATATTGGAATTCTTCCTCCCATACATTTATGCTGATCATCCCTCTTATGTATCCTTGTTTTCTCTTCATTTGTGTACTACACAGATTATGGTGACTTGAAGTCCTACAGTTCCGCGCATAGTTGAATATGTTGAAATCTGCTTCTCTCAACAACAATTGTTTAATTTTGTTATGTTTTAATTCCTTTTTCGTTGGGTTTTTCTCTCTTACTTCCTCTCTCCCACCTGTGTGTGAAAGCGATTTCATGCCTGAATTATACCTTTTATTTCTCTCTCTCCTTCTCTTCTCTTCTCACTGAATTATTTATTTACTCACATGATTTGTATGTAAGCGCGTGTGTGTGTGAAGGAGAGAGAGGGATTACACCTTTAGGAAGAATAATTAGTGCTGTCGTTGTTGTTGTTGTCAACCACATGAAATTACGTCATTGTTTCCTCATACAATTACATGATCAGTTGAAAGATTATTTGTTTTTTCAGCAGACAGTATATGCGTACATAAATATGAAAAAGTATACCGAGTGGAGTTTGACATACATACACACACACACACACACACACAAACTCGCATACACACAAGTCAGCCCATAATCATTCGTTATGCAACGTGAGCAACGTAATCCATATGTTACCAGGCTTTCTTATACATATAATAATAATAATAATAATAATAATAATAAAGCTTTATATCAGACAATATGTGAACACATAGTACAGAAATTCATAAGCGTATTTACTTTCCAAATATTTCCTCGTCACATACCTGTAAAGTAATAATCTAAAGTATATCCTGTGGTGGATATAGCTCTGTTGTATATGAAGAGAGGGAGTGAGAGAGAGAGAGAACCAATTGTGTACATTTTTCATTTCCTTATTTCCTTCAACAATTGCACAGTGTTTAGTTAGTTGCAAGTTAATTAAATGTACTCGCGAGTTCATGTGGTGTCATTTAATGTAATCGTGTACGATTAAAATAATATGAGATGCAAGAAGAGTTTAAGCATTTTAATGGATGGAAAATTTTTAGTAGCCTAGGGATTCAATTAGGCTGGCGTTCAATTTCTAGTCATTTATGTTACATCATCCAATTTTGTTTGCTCAATTTTTGTTCTAATTTAAATGGCATTATTCTCTACCCCACATTTACTTAGTCTGTACGTGTAATTACCTCTGTTGATATCCTCCTTACCTAAGTTGAAACATTTTAGTCAATTGTATTACGTTATCTAACTTACTAACTCAATCTTACTTTGATTGGACACTAGTAACTAGTGTGACGTGTCTATTCCTTTCTTTGGTGCAGACTGAATTCTGCCAGTCAGGTTTGCAACGTGGCTACCATTCCACTAGATAGCTCACCATTACGTTGTACATTGATTTGATGATATTAGATGGTTGAAGGAAATCGTCAGGAAGCCTTAAACTAGTTCTGAAGTCAGAGATGACTCAGGTTCGAATCTCAGAAGCGATATATATATATATATATATATATATATATATATATATATATATGATGTCTCTTAGAAAAAGTTTTAAATAAGCGTCTCATCCTTTTCCTGACAGTTAGGTAATGTTATAAGGCTAAACACTCTTGTCTACTTCTCTAATTCCACTGCGAATTGTTTACAGTATGCTAGAAAGGTTTTGATGAGTTGTGTCGACCAACCAGCTACTCCACTGATTTGCTTGACCTGAAATGGGTGGACACAACCTTCCGATAATGTTTGGATCACGTTGATCTGGTCGGCTAGCAAGTACTACTGGTTGATGTTAGAGGTGTACAACTACTCATTTCATTCAATCAGTAGTATATAGTTTTACGCATTTTAGCTTGTTGACTATTCAGTCTCCGGGTGGATTCTCTAAACATGTAAAGCTACCTACATGGAATCCCACCAACAAGTATCTTTTCACACACTCGATATTAATGGAGACAAACAGTCTCAACTACTCTTAAGAACTATGAGAAGTCCATCTTGTGCTCGGTCATTATATATAGCAAGCAATCGATATCAAACTTACTTAGGGTGGAGTAGTGTCATACGTTTAGTCCTTCATTTGGTGTAGACTGAATTCTATCAGCCAATTGGTTTGCAATGTGGCCAGCATGTTAGGTGACTTGCTATCATGGTGCACATTGAATTGTTGTTATATAGATGGTTGAAGGTAGTCGATAGGAAGCTTTGCATCTATTAGATTTTCTTCCATTTTTGAATAAAGCGAGAACTACAGTTTTAGCAGAATAAAGTGGCACCATCATTTATTTCGTTGCCTTGTCATTATATATATATATATATATATATATATATATATATATATATATATATATATATATATATATATAATATTAAACACTGAAAATATCCAGTTACCAGGGCAAAGAAAGACTAGTAACTGTTTCTTTCTGAACGCACAAATCAGGTTTCAGGCACTTGGTGGAGATGGCTTCAGCAAACTTGGGAGAATTGAGCTCTTTTGCCTATTGATAATTTTGCGACGTCCACCTCATTACCCGTGTCAAGAAGATGTCTGATGATGGCACTGTTCAAAGTATATGTTCCCTTTAGACATATGCTTTTTGGTACATGTTCAGAAAATCGTAGATATCCCCTTCTTTCTGTCCTTCGAATGTAACTGCTGTCTCTCTATTAATTTTACAGGTGTTTAGCTGAAATTGTTCGTCGTACAGAATTTGAAGATATGCTTACTCAACGGTCGGTATATTATCTTAAAGAGGAGAATCATTTACGTGCTGAAGAATGTCGTCGACGACGAATTTTCTCAAAACATTTGAGTATGTCTTATTGAATATTATGTTATTGTTACGTCATGCCGTGTTATTTTGTTTCACTCATTGTAGAATATGAAATTCTTTTGTATGATTCAAAGTACAATCACGAATTGGCACCAGTCTCAGTGGACCAGGGGATATCTATCTGTTTCACCCTTTTTTGGAGCTCTTTAGTAGTACACGCCTATGATCCAGGACGAGACAATCGTGAAATACTATCTGATCTTGTGTGGTTCTCTAACACTGGTGTCAGTTTGTGCTATGAGTTAAAACGCATAGAGTCTAAGCAAACAAACACGAAATCTTTTTATGATATCATAACTGACTCGAGCTCCTGTCACATATACTGAGTAGTATTGCTAGAGTTTGACTGAACAAATTTAGCCCATACATAACTAGTGGTTCTTCAACGTTAATCGGTTATATTCCATCGAATTTCATAGTCTCTGCGTTGACATAACGGCTTAGTTGGGAACAGGATCATTCACTCACAGATGCGGATACATCCAGCCTAATGAGTTCCACAAATGAGGTGAAAGATGAGTGCTGGATACCATTATTGACAGTCAACCATCTATAGTTTTGTCCTTTAAGATAAATTTTAATTGTAATTGTGACAGTGTATGTGTGTCTGTGTGGACAATTGAGTCTTACAGAGTGTACACGTTTTCGTAATTGATTTTGTCTTGCAAATATTCTGGAGTTCTTCAGAGATGTTAGTAGACAGTGAGGGGTCCAACAAGTCGAGTATGAGAAGAGGTATTCTCTGATGACATTGGCCGGTAGTGGCACCATGTATCATGAATTGCCAGGAGACGAGATGCATCGGCCATCAGATTCCCTACCAGTGGTTGAATAGGCTTCGGGCTTGCCTCGTAGCCTTAAGGTTCTAGGTTGTATCCGTGGTGTGTAGGGTAATGGATGTCTACGGGTGAGAGTAGTGCTCAAACTAGGAGGATACAGAAGTTCAGTACTCCCTTCTGGTTTTCAATTTGAAAGCAATCGAGAACATCTGTAAGACAGATTGGAATAGTTGATTGGTGTCAAAAAGAATTTAAACCATTGACCACTGGATTGACTAGTCAAGTGTTTGAACTAGCTACGAGACGCAGCTCCTAACGAGTTCATTATTTCACTGTGCAATCATTAAATCCAACATCGTCTTACTAGCTACCTGACTAGATGTTTCTCCTCTTGTTACAAATATATACATAATGTATTTGAACAAGGAGGGCAAGTTTTTTGTTGTGATGTTGTGTTTTTTATCTGTATCATTTGATTGTGCAAGTTTCGTTACCCGTCTGAACAGCATTTTCAGTGGTTATTTCACATTGATGGTCTTTTTGTTTTGATGGACGATAAAAGCTTCTTGTTTAATAAAATCATCCAGTTCATAATACGGAGTACATTACAACACACCAAAAACATTCTCGACCGATAACTCCTAATTTGACATGGTGACCGAGCCTGCGTATCGCGATCATTCACCAAGTTACAGTGATTGGAACCGATGTTCCTGCAAGTTATACTGCGCTAGGTAGCTCATGTTGATAGCAATTGGTCGTTTACACTATGTTTGAGGTTTGTGGACGTAATCGTACTGCTAGCGAATAGTGAGTGGGATAATCGCAGTAAGGCGTGTTCCCCTAAGATAACCAGCAAGCCAGCTATGCTACCTCTTTTCTCTGGGGAAGGACGCGGGGTTATCTACACCGATAATTGCACATCCTGAGTTACCTTGAGGCGGTCCACAGATAAAGAAACTCCAAAAACGAATCCAAAGAAACTGTGTGTTACCGGCTTCAATCACATATCACCTGAGTTCTACGGTCACACAACACCTATGCACCTGCTGTTTCAGGTACTCGAAGATGAAATTAACAATCACAATGTGGATAGCTAGGCAATAATCACCGCCCGCACCTACTTGAGCTACTAGGCTTCAGTAATGTATTTCAAAATCCCACTTGTTGAATACTCTCCTATCTCATGGAAAGTAGGAGCAGTTTTTTTTAAAAGTGGTTTGACCAACCTGGATCTAGTCATTTTGAAGAGTAGTGAAGTATTTCACATTATGCTCCTCTTTTTTTATCTTACCCTTAGAAAATAACTTCTTGCATACACTGTTCTCTCCATGGACTAATCCGAAAACTGATTGTCTTGGGGTAGGTTGACATAATATATCTGTTGTTATTTATTAGCGTCTTTCTTTGTCATTCTTCTCATTCACACAATGATTTGCATAACGATTATGAGAGAGAGAGTGTGTGTGTGTGTGGAAATTGCTGCCATCGGGTACTTATGATTTATTGATATAGTGTGAATGATATCATTCGCATACTTCGAGTCTCCAGACGATATTGTCCTTCTAAGTGAGGACGTTGACAAACTATGAAGACTTCTGTCTACACCTTGCTCAGAAAACCTAGTATGTTTGACATGTGAATTTCCTCTGTCGATGGTGTAAGATGAGCACTGCAGGACTAGTGTACACTCCCAGTTTAGAGTGATTCTCCGCGTTGATCACTTTTCCTATTTTGGAATTTGTATCAGCCTTAATGAACTGTTTGATGAAGAAATCTTAGCATGGATACAAAAGTCTTGTTTGTGATTTATTAACTTACGTAAATATGATATCATGTCATCGATTGAAGGATATATGTATATTTTGTCTTTCTTTTAATGGATGAATTGAAAAGGCTAGCCTTCTTTGACTATAGATGTTTGTATTCTATCTGCTGTGTTAAGACTAGGCGTTAGAGTTCTCAATCTGTAATCTCTCTCAAATTCTGTTGAGTTCTTTTTACTCTGCATATACCTGTCCTTTCTCCTGTACATTTCTGCCTAGCATAATTCTTTTGTCGGCGACTATACCATATTGAAAATATCGGTTCTGGTCCGATCATCGAAGTTAAGCTACGTTGGGCCCGGTTAATACTTGCATGAGGGACCAGCTGGGAATACCGGATGTTCCTGACTTATTTTAACGTCGGTAGCACAGCGGTATAATGCTCGCCAACCACGATAGACATGAGGCCAGCAACCCCATATTGTAAAAAATACTTACGCTACCGAAACTTCGAAGCTGGAGCTTGAAGCCCCCTATGTTCCACTAAGAACGTAAAGGAATAAAAAAGGAGTTCTTTTTCTCAACACCTTTGTGCTATATGAAGTGTGTCAACTTCTGTTCAAGCTTCTATGTTAAAAACTCTTAGTAGCAATTAGAAATTGTGTAACTACCATTTGGTGTGTGGCTATGACTACTATAAAAGTGGTATTGAACTACTTAACTTTTTATGGAAAGTTCTGTGATGAAATTTAGTCAGTCAGTCATTGACATTGAGAGCTAGAACCTTATCTGATTAACCTGTGTTATCAAGATTTTTTATGATATGCGTCTGTCTGAGTTGTATCTTGTACCTCTCCCCAAGTTCATTCCCTGTGGAACACAGGGCTTCATACTTTGAGATTTGAAGTTTCAGTGGTATCTGTGTTATTTGTATGCAGTGAGATTGCTAGGCTCACTCACACTCAACTCTTCCACTTTTTCAGGCTTACTGTCGACAAGTAAGCAGGTGGTTAATTGGGGTTTAATAGGGTTGTGTCGGCCAAGAGTCCAACTCCGGACTTTTTCGCTCAAAATCTCAGCATGCATACAGCAGGCTCGTTTAACGTACACTAACTTACTCCGTCTCTGGTGTAGACATGATATCCGGTTGTCCTACCAAAGGGCATGCGTACGGTTCAGCAGTTCTTTCTGTCTTCCTTTATACCTGTGAGGCGATAGGAAGGAAGCCTTCGCTGTACCTAGGTTGCCGAGCTTGTCAGCACTCCTCAATCAGTTAGGCGTATCTGCAATTTCGCAGGAACTCATATCCCTTCTGAGATTCGAACCTGTGCACCGTGATTGCAAGCCACTGGGAGTGGTGATGACATTGCGATTTGACTGATAAAATTCAGTCTACACTAAACAAAAGCATAGACGCATAGTTACTAACTTGTATTCGATCAAAGTATCCAATACAGTCCCATAGGAGATCAGTTGCGAATCCTAATATTGCAATGATTACTCCTTCAACTGCAGCACTGGGTGACTTGGGTTTGGATCTTTGAAGGGAAATGAGTTCCATCAAGCTTTCAGATATGCCTAATGTGACTGGTGATTGCCAACAAGCACATAACTTAGGACGATTGCCTTCAACAATCTCATATACATATAATTTACTGATGACTTTCTTACTAAATAGGTTGGATATAGATTTTAAGTTTGATCACAGATTGAAGTCAGTTAGAAAACCATTGGAAACCAGCATGAAGTGTTGGGCAGCTTTTCGTCCTCCTTTGGTCTTTTCCGCAGCAGTTAGCACCTATTTATGACCCAGGATTATTGAGCTTGTAAACCATTCAGCCACTAGGAATGGAAATCTAATAGTTCGTCAATTCTGCTTTACACCAACTCACCGTGTAGCCCGAAAAGTCTTGGGTTCGAACCTTGCTGTGATAGGGTTGTCGGTGCGTACTGCAGCTGAAGAGTTCCAAATAACAATGAGACAGCTGTCCGATACTCCGTATTGGCTCCTAGTATGTTCTCTGATTAATAATTGATAACATTAAAAGGATGGTAAAACAGCATCATCCAGAAAGCTGTCTTCTCATCCCATTGTTATCTAAATCATCAACTTCTCAACTCTCCGAACATATACATATTATCCCTCTGTAGTGTATTTGCTGCTTTTATCGTTCTATACAATATTGATTTTCTTTGTTCTTTTTTGTCAATAACTGGTACTTGTTTGTTAATGCTCATCAAAATTAACTTTCTCTGTATTTGTATGCACGTGTGTGTGTGTTTGTGTGTTAACCCACACACATCTGTATACAGATGCTTTCAAATGAAGAATGTAAACACCAATGTAGGCAAAGTATAGACACATATTAATATTAAAAAAAGTGTTTAATTTTCGTTTCAAGTAAAACTTCGTTTACACATCCATTTAGAATAAGCTAAAATGGAAAGTTGAGACTAATCTTAAAGTGTATGCGACAATAGAACTGTGCTTCGCTCGTTTTAAAGTGTAAGCGTGTTCAACTTCCAACCAACTGAAGTGGTGGTGGTGGGGGGGGGGGAAGGATGAGGCCATGCGTTTGAAACTCTACGCAACTATCATGTTTTCAAGATCCATATAGTATCATTAAGCGGATTGACTGTGTATGGAAATGGATGCATTCTGGTTGGAACAAAAAGCTTGAAGTCTTGGACTTTGGATTCTCAGCCTTTTATGATTTCGCTTTCTATGACTATGAGGTTGTTGCCCTCATTCCCAGTGGATCCTCTGCTTTTCCATGTTTTAATATAGCCTAAGCGAAGTTTGACTGACTCATCTGGTTTCAAGTATTGGTTTTTGTAGGGATTTGGTTTAATTGGTTAGAGGATTTCATCATGAACTAACATCAGTTGAAGAAGAATTGGGAAAAATTGAGAGGACTGGACAGCTGTTTTGTCCTTGTTTTGCGCCTCTTCATCAGTACTCACCCGCCTCGGTGATTCGAACCTAGGAACTTTTGGTTAGGAGGCCAGCGAGCTCGTAGACCATTAAGCCACTGGGACTCGATCCAGTGGCCAACCCCTGAATTCTTATTTCTGCCAATTCATGACATAGCTCGACCACTTCTCAATGTCTTCTCTGATGAGTTACTGTCTCACCTAAATCCCTACAAAAACCAATACTTGAAAATCCATCTGATGCTCACTAGCGACTGGTCCTGTTCAGGTGGGTAGTTACCTTGGTAGGGCTCTAGTAGGAAGCCGTAATCAGTAGGGTACAGCAGGTTGAAGGTGAGAACAGTTACTCATCGAAGATGATATTGAGAAGTGGTCGCGCTATGTCATGAATTGGCAGAAGTTAGAATTCATGGACTGGCCGTTGGATCGGGTCCCAATGGATTATTGATCTATGAGCTCGCTAACCTCCTAACCGAAAGATCCTAGGTTCGAATCATGGAGGCGGGTGCGTACTGATGAAGAGTCCCAAACCAGGACAAAACAGCTGTCCAGCCGTCTCAAGTTTTCCAGTAGTTCTCCAACTGATGGTAGCTCATGATGAAATCCTCCAACTCGTCTGGTTTCAGTATAGAATTCAGCGCGGAACTGTTACAGTTCAAGTTAACACACATGCACACAGAAAGACAGAGAAAAGAATGGGAAAATGATTGTAGAGAAATATAATAAACGAAATCGGCAGGGGAAAAAAGCATATTCACATAATAAAACAATGGTAGTTTAGTGGATATGCGAGGTCACAAAGAGTGAATGCATTTGTGTGCCATTCGCTACGATTCTGACCTATATCTTGAATTATATTTTTTAAAGGTTTTACTCCGTACCGTTCTCAGGGGAACATAGGGCTTCAATCTTGAACCTTAAAGTTTCACTAGCAGTGGAGTTTAGATAGCTGGAGGCAATCGGCAGAAAGCCTTGCTTGACCTAGGTTTCGTGCTAGTTGGGACTCATGTCACTTCTGAGATTCGAACCCGAGTCATCTCTGAACTCAGCACTGGTTTAAGGCTTCCTGATGATTTCCTCCAACCATCTAATATCTAGAATATATCTAGAATCGTGGCCACATTCAGTCTGCACCAAGGAAAGGACTAGACGCATCACACTAGTTACTAGTGTCTAATCAAAGCAGTGGTTTTTATTTTTCACCTGGTAGGGTTGCTAGCCACATACCCAAACTTCTCCCTTTACTGGACTGGAAATCGAAACCCGGGCCATTTACGTGATTGGTCAGTGTTCTCCTACTGAACCACAGACGCGCATATATCTTGAATAGTATTCATAATAATAATATGGCAAACTAAATAGGATCAGAGTTCAGGGATATGAGTCAATTGATAACAATAAAAGTGATCATAATGATAATAACAGTAATAAGGATGAATTCACTCAAAATCTTGTATAATCTAGGTAATAGTGATTGCATAGGTGGAATATGCATACTAATAAGGGTAGAGGGGAAAATTACTGTTGTCACATAGCAATTAGATTACATAATAATAATAAATTGTGAAACCGAGATCAAAATGTGTACAACTACAGCACAGCATGATATTGATAATACAGTTAGCATTACAAATAAAAATAAGATAATATATACAGTTATCTGGTATCACTGGGAGAGAGATTGGAAAAGCCTTTTCTAAACACAGAGATTGGGTTGAAAAATCCGTATGGCAACTGCCTCAGCTAAGGCTTAGCAAACGAAGATGTCCCGACCTAAGGAATTGCGGTGTCACCTTGTATAGAATTGTAAAAGCTGGATTTTTTTTATCGATCTTGTGCTCCCTATCCACTAGGTATGCCAGTATGAAACTTCTGATTGACCTTACAACTTTTGTTTACCTAACCACATCGGAGAATGCTGAAGAAGGCGTCAGTGAGCTTTCTAAGTTCTTCTACCTGTCTGTCTGTCTGTCTGTTTTCGACATAGAACTTTGCACATATGTGCACCAGTTCAAGTTGCCACACTCCCTCCTTGTAGCACACAAACAAACAGAAGAAAGTAGAAGAAATGCATATTAGAGACAGTAAACAGAGGTGTGAGACAAAGGAATAGTAGTAACGAAGAACAAAACAGTCTCATTGGAAATCATAAGTCACATGGAGTAGATGCATCTCCACTAGCCATTGAGAAGGATTTTGAGCCATGTCACCAATTGTTTCCAGCTTTCACTGGTTTTTACCGTCCCGAGGACCCCAACCAGTCAGGAAGTCTACACCTTCCTACGTGGCTTAGACTAACTGTTGTAGATTTCATTGACTGGTGAGGCCATGTTTTGGTTTGACCTCCGCTAGCTTTTTTCCAGCCTGATTGGTCCTATATTAGCTAACATTTTCCGTCGAGGAAGGCGATGACTAGGCTAAGCATGCGTAACACATGTCCTAACCATCTCAGTCGATGCAGCTGCTTCACAGCCTCGTCGATTGATTTTCCCTGTTTACCTAGAACTCGACCGATGCCTAACCTCAATATTGCTCACCTTATTATACCACTTCACACGGGAGATAGAATCCAGCCACCTATGGTCAAAGACAGCTAGCTGGCCTTTTCATGTCTTCCACTCTCAATGGCTAGGTCTCACAACCATAAAGGAGGACGGAGCGGACTGATGAGCAGTACACCCGCCCTTTGGTCGATAGCCGGATATCTCGTCTACTCCAGAGACGGCGTAAACTGTCATATGCGAAACTAGACCTCTGTATCTGTGCTTAGATTTCGTCAGAGATCAACCCGTCCGGGCTGATGATGCTTGCCAAATAAGTGAAGCGGTCAACCTGCTCTACCCCTTCACTTCCTATTTCTAAACTAGGAATCAGTCTGGTCCAGTCCTGTAACATCATCTTGCATTTGGCGGGAGCGAATCGCATGCCAAACATTCGCAGATTGCAGCTCAAGACTCTGCATTTTGTCAGCGTCCTCGCCTAGAAGGACTATATCGTCTGCATGTTCTAAGTCAACGAGATTATTCCCTGGTAGCAGGTCAATCCCTGAGTCGCTGAATTCACTTAGGGTTAAGTTCATTAGTACATCTATGATGAAGTTGAATAAAAAAGGGGATAATGGGCATCCTTGACAGACACCACTGGTCGTCATCAGTTCAGATGACAGCTCGCCGTAAGCCCTCACCTGGCTGCATGAGTTCGAGTAGAGTGCCTTGATCAGTGCAATATATTTTCTCAGAATTCGTTTTACAGCCAAGCATCTCCAGAGAACTTCTCGGTCGACAGAGTCGAATGCTGCCTTTAGGTCAAGAAATATAGTGACTGTTGGACGCCGGTAGGAATTCCTATTTTTTAGAATCTGTCGGAGGGTGAAGATATGATCAATACACCCTCTTCCTGGTCTAAAGCCTGCCTGGCTCTCTCGTGTTTGTGCTTCCCGAGCACCACTCAGTCTACGCATGATTATTGAGCCTAAGACTTTAGATACTAAATTAGTCAAGCTAATCCATCTGTGATTATCACAGGAAGACTTGTCTCCCTTCTTGTATATGGGGATAATCAGTGACTTACACCGACCCGACAGGACTTCCTTTGCTTCCCAGACGCTGCCTAGTACCTCAATTAATGCAGACAGTAAACTGTCTACCTAGCTAACACAGTCTCCACACGAATCGTTAACTTTATGAATGCATATTGAAGTGGCTAGAGTATGATTCTATTCTATTAACTGCATTATTTCAAATACCTGTGACCAATATTTGACTATGTAAATGTGAATCCTGATGAGAATTTACTGATGATGCATATTGTCTTGCTTAAATCGTCTTCTGTAATTATCATAATGGGAATATTTCAGTTATCCCGAATAGTCTCAACCCAGTGGATCTCAGCGTCCTGGGGACCACCACCCCACTAATGTAGATTTCACCTTGGTACGTATGTGGCTGGCGGCACTAAATCAACTGTCAAAAAGTTTTTGGACTGATGACAGGTTTTAGTTTGTTCACTCCTGGCTCTTTTTTCAATCTTACGTCGGGAATCGAACCCGAATGACACGTGCGTTTGTGTGTTTGTGTGGCTGGCTGGCAAGCATTCTAACATCGAACCGTAGATTTTAATTTTTGTTTGCGGTTTATTTGTTCCCAGATATCGTTGTCCATCCACAGAATTCCTTTTTATCCCCATGTTGACTAGTCATCAGCTTTCCCCCTCCTTCCTATTACTATTATTATTATTACCATTATTTATTGTAGTTGATCAATTTACCAGCTCCAATTAGTATGTCACAAGATGTCAGTGACCAACAGTTATGTGAAACGATGTCTAACCTAACTGTCACTTGTTCTACTGCAACAGCTTATACCACAACAACACCAACAACAACAACCACTCATAAACTAGAATCTCCTACAACACCTGAATTATCAGTGAATCGACGTTATGCCTTATCATCTCTATCTGAACCACGTTTAAATGAATTAGCTAAAGCTTGTGCTTTAAATCGTGTTAGTTCTCGACTACGTTCAAGTCGATTGAATTCTCTAAGTTCACCAGATCCACAATTAGCTAAAGTTAAAGAAGATGAAATGATTGAATCTGGTCAAAAAAAGTGTACAGATTCAACTTTATCCTTACAACCATCAACAGGTATTCATCAAAATCAATCAGTCAGTCCTTCACAGAATACACCAGTGGCGACAGCGGTAACAACAGCAGCAGTGCCATTACGTCGTCAGCATATGCATACACCTGCGCATAGAATAGATTCAAGTCGTCGGGCATCAATGCCATCTCCAGAACCGGACAGAGCAACATCTACATCGAATTGGTCAATTGATTCAACATCACTTGCATTGACGACACATCATTTCTATGCAAGTAATACAGCTGTTTATAATAATAATAATAATCATAGTAGTGTTGTTGTTAAACAACCGGTGAAGATAACTCGTGATGATTTAGACAAATTAATGCAATCTATGCCAACTAGTATATGTAATCTTTTACGAACAGAATTGAATAAATCCTTCAGCTTGTTCAAGAGTGCATCATTTCTGGCTAATTCATCTATGAGTTTGGTCGGTGGCAGTGGTGGTGGTCCTTTAGACCAATCGTCTGTTTCAACAGGTTTAAAGCTGATTTCAACAACAACAACGACAATGATGGTGACGACTTCGACAACCACATCAGCGATGATGACAATGGGGACTACTATGATCACTGGGACACAAATTAATCCGCCTGAAACAAAGTCAACAACTACATCACCGATATGCAGTATAATTCAGTCAACACCACAGTTAGTCAGTGTTGCCTGTCAAACAGAATTCAATTTAATTGAACCAATTATTAATGTTGGATCAGGTCGTAGTCTAAATTCCAGCTTAGGATTATCAGTTGATGAGTAAGATATCATTATTATTTATATTATTATTGTTATTATCCTTATTATGCTATCGCCTTAGAGCTCCAACCCCACATCTCCATGTGTCGTTGTCATCGGCAGTCCATTTTATCTGCCTCCAGAATTGCTCATAATCTTATATTTCCTTCATGTCGCCTTCAGATACATACCAAACTCATTCTACTCCCATCCGGGTTTCACCAAGGGCCTGAGTGCTGTGTGATGTCACTCAAAGGTCTTCTCAGTCTGTGTCTAACTCAACTCCACTTTTTTTCGGTATATTTCTTGTGCAACAGGTTCCTGGTTGGTTCTTTCCCAGAGTCTCTTTTCGCTAATTCTTTCTGACCAGCCGGCCATTTGATCTTCAGTATGCAGCTCGTGAAGGCAGCTGTTGATAAAAGTATGCGGTAGCCTGCTGGAAATGCTTTTCGTGACGCGTTAGCCAAGTTTTTGACTAATATAGTAGAATTGACTTAATATTGGCGTTTACAATCCGGCTTTTTTGTTTATGCTAATTACAGACAATTTTCAAACTGATTTCAGAGTTTAAGTGTTTGTTTGTGGGGATTTGATCGGTTACAGGATTTCACCATGAGCTGACAGTGGTTAGAGAACCATTGGAAAACCTCGTAGTACTGGACAGCCGTTTCATCCTAGTTTGGGACTCTTCAGCAGTACGCTCCGCCTCCATGATTCAAACCCAGGATCTTCTGGTTACAAGGCCAACGAGATCGTATACCATTAAGCCACTGGGACCCAATCCAATGGTCTATGAATTCTAACTTCTACCAATTCACGACATAGTGCGACCGCTAGCCAATGTCTTCGGTGAGTATTTGTCCTCACACCCGACCTGCTGCTCCCTGCATCAAAGTGATGATGGTCTCTCTTGCCCATTCCGATTCTGGTAGTGATATTCTCATCCAGGAATCACAGGATTTCCTTCAAATTTCTCTTGTTGATAGTGATTACTGCTTGTTGTTTCTTCTTGGTCGGATACATTTACCACATCCTTGTATTCTCTTTCTTCCCTTGAATTTTCGTCTTCGCTGATGCTGATGCTGCTGCCTCTTCTTCGTCTGCCAACACAAACTGTATTCCTTTTATGACCCATAGACCTGTGTCAGTTACACATTATGGTATTTTTATAAATTAAAACCATAGCTATTTAGTATATTGCCTTGACCACAGGTATATAAGCAACAAAAAAAACTGAATAATAATGGCACTAAGCTTCACGCCTTTTCCAGTGTGTGGATCTGATGTCTTGATACATGAGAAATCTGTTTCCAGGACAACTGAGTTCAGTTCAGTTTTCCTAGGCTTTATATTTTCAAGAATTGATTTGTAAGGATTAGGTTTCTTTTCCAGTTTGACCACAAATTGATATCAGTTAGAGAACCATTGAAAACCAGCATGCAGTACTGGGCAGCTGTTTCGTCAGCCTAGTTTGCGAATCATCGACAGTACGCATCCACAATCAGGGTTCGAACTCAGAACTTTCCAGTTACTAGGCAAGCTTGTAAACTATTCAGCCACTCGGTCGTTATACCTCAATGGCCAACCATAAATTCTAACTTCTACCAATTCGTAATATTGTTTTTCTTCTCTTCACCTACGTATATGAATAATGACAATGTTTCTCTTTTTAATTAATCGTTTTTGTTTTTGTAGTTCAGCTCGTCGTACTGCTAATATTAATATTAATAATAATACATGCTGGGAAGAACTTCCAGGAAGTTTATGCAGTTGGGAGTTATGCCGTTTCCCTGTTATCCGTTCATCAAGAGATCGTATGTCTATTTCATTGAATACCCTACCACGTTTTGAACATTTATTTGTCACTGTTGGTACTCAAACCGATTTACCAATTGATTGTATTGACGATCATTCTGTGTATAATTCACCGGTGCCGAGTACAACAAACTCTGTGGATGCTGCTGTACTACCCTCTGTAGATACTACATATGCACAAAAAGCTGATAGTGAATTCAAAGATACAGTAGAAAATGTAAGTGTGATGCGATCTTATTATTAAGGTATTGTAACATAAACTGTGAATACTTTTGCTTGTCTTCTTTTTGTTATTGTTCTTGTTATTTCTAAGTGGAATTGGCCAAGTTCAACAATAGCATCTTAGGTGTGCAAACGTTACAATGACCTTGAACGCATGCTAGTCTGGCTAATGGCACCTGTCATTATCTTAGCTGAGATATCGAGCAAATGTCAACCAGATCACGTTATTAAGTACTTTCTGGATAGTGTTTTAATGGCTCGTTAGAGTTAGATTGACTGAGTCTACACCTATGCATTGAGGTTAGGGTTAAGATCACGGTTATGAATAGGGCTAGGGATAGATTTAGAATTGATGCTGTTTATTTTAATTTGTTTTATTATCCACATTCTCCTGGTAACTAGTCGTCGATCCTTTTACTGTCAGCCATAGTAATTCAACCGAGGGGCTTTTCGGGAAGGGTGCACAACAGGAGAGAAGAGATAAACGATTCACAAAAACAGCTCTTCAGTCACCTCGGTGAATACATGTAGAGAAACTAGCCTAACTTAGCCAATGATACTCCTCATTATTACTGGGAGGTATTTTTAAGTCATATCAGAGAAAGATAACCTGTTTAGTGTGCTTTCATGTGCTTTCTAGTAAATATACGTCAATTTTTGTGCAAAAATTCCTCATTTTTTATGATTGGTTGGCTGAAGGTCAGTCGTGCGTTCGCATCCTTTGGGACGGTATTGTTGAACTTTGCCGTGGAATTTCGTCAGGAATAAACTTGACAACTGTTTCGACCTATTTTATAGAACTCTTCATTCGTATACACCGATGACCAGAAGGTCTACAAAAATTTCTGTCATTTTACAGCTGATAGAACGCTCCACCACTTATCATTTATCTTTGAGATTCCCAACCTGCTAAATGAACTTCTATTTAATGAATACTTGAAGACGCCGTAGTAGTGTGTATTTCTAACAATAAAGTAAAGAACAAGATAATTCTGTGAGTATTGCTACGCGACACTTAAATTCATGATTGCTCCGAATCTAAGAGCCGCAGAGCCCAACGTATGACTGCTTGAGGCAGATCTCACTCAACTTGTTTTGAGTTAGTTTATATGGTTGTATCCGCACACAGATGTCATTATCAGGACAGTCACAGGGTAAATCAGGTTGTCCAATATTTGGGTAAGATATTTTTCCCCCATTCACATAGCTTAATAGTTGCCTAACAGTTGTTACACCCTTTGTTGACAGCATGACTTCAACATCGGACGTTATATGTTGACTAATTATGACTTCTAGTTTAACTGCTGTCAAGGCTAACTTTTTTAGCATTGGTGGACCTACACAAAACTTCGTCCCAGCTAGTATATTCCCTAGGGGTTCGCAATTTCAGCACGAATGCAGGGGGGGGCCGTTTCGCATTTGCCAGTTTACGCCGCCTCTGGCGTAGACGAGATATTCGACTGTCGACCAAAGGGCTCATCAATCCGCTGTGTCCTCCTTTATGGCTGTGAGACCTGCCCATTGAGAGTGGAAGACATGAAAAGACTAGCTGTCTTTGATCATAGGTGCCTGGATTCTATCTCCCGTGTGGAGTGGTATAATAAGGTGATCAATATTGAGGTTAGGCATCGGTCGAGTTCTAGGTAAACAGGGAAAATCAATCGACGAGGCTGTGAAGCAGCTGCATCGACTGAGATGGTTAGGACATGTGTTACGCATGCTTAGCCTAGTCATCGCCTTCCTCGACGGAAAATGTTAGCTAATATAGGACCAATCAGGCTGGAAAAAAGCTAGCGGAGGTCAAACCAAAACATGGCCTCACCAGTCAATGAAATCTACAACAGTTAGTCTAAGCCACGTAGGAAGGTGTAGACTTCCTGACTGGTTGGGGTCCTCGGGACGGTAAAAACCAGTGAAAGCTGGAAACAATTGGTGACATGGCTCAAAATCGTTTTCAATGGTTAGCGCAGATGCATCCACTCCTTGTGACTTATGATTTCCAGTGGAACTACATTGTTCTTCGTTACTACTATTTCTTTGTCTTACACCTGTTTACTGTCTCTAATATGCATTTCTTCTACTTTCTTCTGTTTGTTTGTGTGCTACAAGGAGGGAGTGTGGCAACTTGAACTGGTGCACATATGTGCAAAGTTCTATGTCGAAAACAGGCAGACAGACAGACAGTGGTTCGCAAGTTCTATCTCCAAATCAAGGTAGAAAATTTCAGCTGAGAAATTCCAAGAAATGACGGATTTGGGACATTTTTGTAGCCTGGCATTTTTGGTCGATAAGTAGACAGTATTTCTCACGATTTATGCTTAAAATAAAAATCCTAGTGTTTTTATGCAATTATTTAAATGACTAGTAGAATCGTGATAAACTCATCACCAAATGGCTCGTAGATCGTAGTTATACTGCTAATAATGACTAATCCCAGTGACCGATTAGTTGATTGACGCATCTCATGACCTGGTGATCATCATACTGATCTCCTGTAGAGTCACAGCTTGTGCGTCACCTAAGGGGTTGGGGTTATGATTCCTGACTGACTCACACCTAAACGTCGTCTAGCCAGTATGTAAAGGCCTGAGAAAAGGGAAAGTTTGGTAGGAGGAGTGAGAATAATTCCTTCTCTTTGTCGACTGAATTCTGTCCTATATGTTTTACTCATAGCAGTCGTTATTTACAGGATATAACGCTATGCACTGCTGTAGGTGACTGACTTCTAGGTAGTACCTCGTTAGGGAGCATACGGGTCTTAATAATAAATTCCGTTTCACCTTTGTTCACTATTAAGAGAATTAAGTAATATTATAAGATTTCACACAATAAATCTGTTATATTTGCGAAACTGCATGTTTTACCATGTTGTATCTTTTTTAAAATTGTTTTCATGCCCAGGATTCAGCACAACTTCATGAATGCGTCAGGGAAACTGCTCCTGCTACATCTTCCTGCCCTAATTCTGAGGATAACGAAGAAATGATTGATGACAATGTTGTCCTGTCTGAGATATTCACAGAAGCAGTGGATGATGACGATGATGCCGATTTATTCACCGACTCTGCTTTAATGATGACATCAAGTTTTCATTCAACTCGAACAACATTTTCAAATAATAATAATAGTAATAATCATTATAATCAATATGGCAATGATGATAACATTGACAATCTGTCACAGCATACACCGTTAATGTCTATTACTCAAAGTCGTTGTAGTGATGATGATCAAGATGATACTGGTTGTCGTAGCAAAAGCAGCAGAAGTAGTAGTGGTAATCTGTGTTATATTACAGATGGTGTTGCTGGCGGCGGGGATGGTACTGTTGGTACTACAACTCAGTATGGATCTATGATATGTGATGGTAAGTTAGTCACTCGCCTATTTATTATCCTAGTGAATCAGTCTGTATTACTTTTCAAAAAGATCAATTATTTGGAGTTTTCGATGAGCTCAACTACCTAGAAAAAAGATCTACAGGTAAATTAGGCTGTTGTCGATAGACTGTAATTTCAGGGGATACACAATAACATTCATAACATTCATCATCCAAGTCTTTGTCTTCATTCAAAGTTTAACCACTAATTGACACGCTAATTTGGAGAACCATTGGAAATCATCAGAGAGTATTGACCAGCTATTTCGTCTGTATTTGGGTCTCTTCATCAGTCATTGCGCATCCATGATCCCACCTCTAGGGATCGAACCCAAGACCACGTTACAAAGTCACCGTGCAGCCATTATAAAGGAATCTAACTTCTTTCAATTCGCGATATGTAGTGCTATCGTAAGCTAGTGTCTTCTCCTAACTTGATGGATTCTGTTGATCACAACTTTCCACCAGAAGTTCTGGCAACTTCTTCATCCTATAGTCTCTCAGTCACCAGTGGAAACTGGATTAATTCTCAATTGTTAATTTGTAGTGATTTCATTGATTTCAGAATAGGTCACGAATCTACATCAGATTGGGGGAACCATTGAAAACCAATAATGAGTATTGCTCAACTGTTTCTCCCCTGTTTGGGTCTCTTCACTAGCCAGTACGCACCTTTATCTCAAATGCTAAGGATCGAATCCAAGGCCTTTAGTTTACAAGACGTGATCATAGAAACAGAAAAAACAAGCGAAACTATCGCATAACAAAAGAGGAAGAGTTTGAAGCCGAAGATTACGTAATCAAATTAAGGGTAATGAGTGGAGGCTTCGAGTTATCCGGGGTAAAGGAAGAACCAATAACTACTTTTTTCCGAATACATTAATCTAGTTTTAAGGGTTTCCAATTCACCCAATTAGCTAGCTAGTAGGAATTCGTGTGATGTGAAGGGATTCAACCTTCTGAGTTAGGTAAATCTGAGCACATCTCAAACGAGAGATACAATCGGTTGGTTGTTTTCAATTACTCATTTCAGTGAATCAGTAGTATATATCAACAAATATTTTATTGGTTGATTGTTTGATTGATCGATTTCATAGACAGTTCTTATCTCAACTATGAGCATCAGTTAAATTTGTCACTTTTCAGGACTACGTGCATTTATATACATAAATAACCTCAGTCAAGGGTTTGAACCCAGTATCCTTCACATTACAGACTCTCTAGTTCAAGTAACTTCAGCACAAGACACTCTTCAACGAGAGTTACTGTTTATTTTTAGCCTTGTAAATTAAGCTTCAGCTTTGAATGTGCATAGAGTAATTACGTTGGTAGTGTGTGTAGTTAAATTTAATTCTGCTCTTACTGTCTGTGCGCATATGCCTGCACCTGCGCTAACTTTGAGTGTTCAATATTCTAAAATTGATAAGGCAACAAACACACTGTGCATATTTTGTTTTAGAAATTCATAATGTGGTAAAGAAATCACTCAATTATTCTTTTTTTTCTCTATGTATTCAATAATACGAGGGTTTTTGTAATTCACAATCAGTATTATTATGGTTATTATTATTACAGTTTTGTCAGTCAATTTTTCATACGCTCTGTCTATGTGTGTGTTTGTGTTTTGTCATATGATCTTGACAATTTTTATCTTACGTAATGCGAAAAAAAGTTATTTAGCCATACATTACCTTCTCTCTCTCTCTCTTTCTCTCCCTTCTACCCTGAGGTTGATGTGAAGAGAGCCCTGAGCTAAAGATAGTAATTATGGATGGTGTGTATTGACTTAGACATAAATAGCATCTTTTTTCTGATTGGTTACTACCTAATGACCAATCAAAGTACGCATTTTAGTTAGTCTTACAGAGAAGTTCAGTTACGAGCCGGAACACCTCAGTGGTATCGTCTCTGAATGTAGCGCTAGGTGACGCAGGTTCCAACCTGACAGAGTGGAAGATGTGTTTCTTTCAAAAACACAATTGCCAACAAGCACGGAAGCAAGGTCTACTCAGGGGACTTCCTTCCGATTACTTCCAATCATCTAGCAGTATGTCTTCCTCCAGGCTTGAAAACTTTCGGTTTCATCTTCACACTACACAGAGTATATTTAACCAAATGTGGGTGCAAACAACTTCCTTGGTTAAATACACATAAATGTTTAAAAGTGAAATTTCCGCTTTACCACAGCTTCCCTCTTTGAGCAGTATTAAGGAACATCAGATTTAGAATGGAAAATAGTAAGAGAGGAATGGTAGACTAAAAGCATGATAACAACGCGTGAATACTTTGACTGTTGGCTTGACCCAGCCAGATAAGGAGGTGCAGACTGTCTAACTAACTGGCTGGCTAGCTGGGCTCCTCAAGACGCTACACAATAAAGCTATTCCCAGTGCAACATAGGGTTTCAAGCTAGTGGCTTGAAGTTTCTGTAGAGGTGTTTATTTTTACAGGATGGAATTGCTAGGCTCATGCCCAACCTTTTCTCTTTACCAGCTTCTTATTTCTGGCTTAGCGAGATAAAGGAGTGAGTCGGCCGGGAATCGAACCCTAGACTATGTGCATGATCGGCGAGCGTCCTAACCGCTATGCCACCGCCACGCACAACAAAGCTATTAGTTGTATTTAAATTGATGTGACGCAGATGAAAACAGTATCTTTTTTCGTGTCATTTTTTGTCGACTCCAAATGAACCGAAATGAGCAGTCATTTTTATTAATATTTCGGCTCTTGGTGTAGACTTTTCAACAATGTCTGAAGATTTACATGATGTTATTTTGTAGTTTGGCAGTGACTAGCAGAAACTAAACATTTCGCTGAAATAGAATTATTCAATGAGAAGCGCAACAATGATAACAGGTGATATACATTACACAAAAAAGTGTCTAGCGTGACCCAGTAGTGGTTTTTGTAACGATGAGTGCGGGATTTCAATGAGAACACCATCAATCAACGCCGGTACAAAAACAACCAGTCGGTGAGTCTACGAAATGCGCATCTTGGATTCAACCACCAATTTAAATAACATCTTGTAATGGAGAAGATTTGTAGCTCAAGTGGATGATTTTGGTATAGTTTGTCATCTCTGAGCTGTATGGTTTACTTGCGAAGCTTTCACTTCCCTACCAGACAACATCTTCAGTGCACACTTCAATTTGACGCTGTTGATGTTTACTCGTCATCAGAACATCCGTACTAGATCAAGCATAATCGACTAACAGGAAATGTACTTGAGTTAACCCTTATAGGCCTCACAGCCTAATCGATCAGGGGAAGGGTTTGCATTTCAATGGGAACACCACTGCTCACTGATAATGCAGATACTTACACAACTAAAGACTCTCAAACTGGATGAAATGTGCCCGTTGACTTGCATTGATAAATCCCCATCAATCGAAATGACAACGTCGTTTTGTAATTATCCACATAACCTTGAGTCTTTGTGTATGTGTATATTTATTTAAGGCTTTGCATTATTGACTGTTATTCTATTTTATTTATTCTATCGTAACATGATATAAGTCGACAAGGAAAAGTGTCACCTTCAGTATCTCGTGGTGTTTACAAAAAGTATATTCCTTAGGATGACAACTTCTCACATTATTATCATACCATTACTACTATTACTAATAGTTTCACGAACCAACAACAGTTAGCAAAGTAGCTGTTTCTTCCCATTTTGAGACTTCTTAGTAATGTACACCCACGCACCCATTTCTAAAGATCGAACTGGGAACCATCATTTCAATAAAGCCCACTTGACCCGGAATCCAACGACCCATAAATTCTATCTTCTATCATTTTATTTGATATATCGCACCACCACCGAACAGTACTTTCAAATGAGCATATGTATTTCACCTTGGCTACGACTTATCACTTCGGTTTGAGGATATCCATCCCGGTAGACATCAACTGGTGTTGTTTCACGATGAAATCGACAATCTGAATATTAATGGTACTGTTTTTAAAACAAGCAATAAAGGTTAATGAAGCTGGGTTTAATGATGGACTCATCAAATTTCGGTAGAACTCGTCAGCTGAATACTCTACATACACGGATATATACATATACTTTTGAAATTACATTTGGGAGATATAAGACTGATAAGTAAACAAACTACATGCAGAAAGACAGGTGAGAATGTTTTCCACGTCATGTTCAAATAGATAAGGCGAGAGAGAGTATGGGAGATCAAAATTAAGATAAATTGCATTACGCTTCAGTTACATCACTTAGATAAACAATTAGTCATTAGAGAACATAACAAGAATTGCAAACCTAGTAATATTAATAGTAATAGTTATCATAATACTAATAATAATAATAATAGTGTTGGAGTGGGTTAAGATAATCCTACTGATAAAGGATAGTTTTAAATGAATCAAGAATAATAATAATAATGATAATAATAATAAGAGGTAGAATAATAAGTAAAACGTATTACCATGGTAGATTCAGAGTCACGACCATCTCCTTTTGTACACAGAGACCTGGTTTATAAACTCGAATTGCACAAGCCTCTGCAATTGCAAGCATCTTCATGTTTCTTTGTCTGCTGACAATAGTGAATGACTTGACAGCGTCGATATCATGTCCGTAGTCCACAAGATGTTTTGTTATTGAGGATTTCGGCAGTGGTGTAAAGGATAACAAGTTTTGCAGCATAATAAGTTCTCTTGATGGCTTTATCGAGTCTTCGTTTGACTACTTCTTGTAAACATCATCTCCTTTGAATGTAAACTGATATAGACAGGTTTCTTTGGAACTGTTTGGATTGTTTTGCAGGAGCTAATTTCTTTAGAGTATTTATTAATGAACTTCTGAGGATATCCATTCTTAGATAAAATATCCTTGAAAGATTTTATTTCATGTTCAATAGTACTGTCAGAACAAATTTTTCGTGCTCTATTGAACGGTGTTCTGACTAAGTTCGTTTTATACTGGATTAGAACAAAGCTCTTGAAATACATGTACTGTCCTATCCATGAAAACTTTCTAAGCATAGATCTTTCGATTGTGCCATCATTCATTTTCCCTAGAATAACATCTAGGAATTTAATAGTATCGTTTTCCTCATGTTCTACTGTAAAATTGAGAATTGAATGGCATGAGTTGAATGTTATCAACATGTCTTCCACTTTTGATCTGCTTCCACAGACAATAAAAATGTCATCAACACATCTTAGGTGTACATCCGTTTCTTGTAGTTAGTATCCTACAGATTCTTGCAGCAACATATAAATCCTGCTTTATTAACTCCAATGTGAAGTCACTGCTACTATACGGACCAGAGACTTGGCGAGTCATAAAGAGCATCTCAAACAAACTTCAGACCTTCACTAACAGTTGTCTTCACTCAATACTCAAGATCAGATGGCCGGCCAGAAAAGATCAGCAACAGAGATCTCTAGCAGTGAGCGAACCAACCAGGAACCGATTGTGAAACAAATAGGCAGGAAGAAATGGAGATGGATTGGCCATACGCTGAGGAGAAGCCATCAAGTGACATCACTAGACAAGCCATCGCTCGAGTGGAACCCGAAAGGGAAGCGGTGAGTTGGTCGTCAGTGCAAGGGTGATATGGATGAGATCATGTGAAGAGAAGATGAAAGCATGTGGACAGACTTGGAGCGGGGTGAAAAAGTCGGAAGAAAACCGAATACAATGGAGACGCGCAGCTGAAGCCCTTTGTTCCTGTAGGAATTAAAGGATACAATAATAATATTAAGCTTTATTGGTTGTTTTAAATTTGGATCGGGAAATAAATGTTTTCAATTCTTGAAGAAGGTACTGTTTTTGTTTTTTGTTCTCTTTTATTTTTTTTTGTACAACTTAAAACAATAACTGTATAAACCAACCTATTTTTTTTAGGTGTCAAGACATCATCAGACTTACTGTTATTATCGTCGTCGTCATCACCAGGTGGAGGACGAAGCGGTGTTGTTGACGGTGGCCGCCATCCCCATCACCAACCAGAGTTAAATGATCAACAGAATCAAACCACACCATCGCTTACCTCATCTTCAGCTTTCTTAGATCATTGTTGTATCAAATGTCAATTAAGACGTAAACATCATAAAGAATACTTTAGTTTACTTCAAAAATGTTTACAAATTATTAAAAGTAAAGAAGAAAATGAAACGAATTCAATTAATCCTGATGTTGATGTTACTGTGAATGAGACAACTGTTGGTGGTGATGGTGGTAGTAATAGTAGTAGGCAGTCAACAGTAGTACATGAAGGAACAACCCCTGAAGTATCAACAACAGCAACAACGACGACAACACCACTTCAGTCATCAGATTCAGTGCATACACCATTAATTTCGCTAAATAGAAGTCAATTGAAATGTCTTTTAAGTGTAAGTTTTTTTGATTTTATTTGTCTCGGACATTTAACACCTTGACTTATCTTTGTTTATAATTAGCTATTTAAATTTAAATGTACGAAGGTACTTTCTTCTTCCTCCTCCTCCTCCTATTATTATTATTCCCTCAGGTGTTTTAAGTTGAAGAACTTAAGGCTTCAAAAGGTCACCTCCATTCCATCCTGTTTCCCATTGTCATCTTTAGCTGACATCACTCCTCTGTATATGATCTGCTCCATGTCATCCTCGGACCCACACCCAACTCATCCTTTTCCACTGAAGTTTCACGTGATTCCATATTAGTTTGTTTATTAGGCATATCACACAGTGAAACAGTATTATTACATACTGGATGATGTTTCGAACAAAATTTATTGTTCCTAATCATATTTTCAATTATATTCACATGACTTTCAAACTAGTTTTCTTAGTCTTCTCTTATTTGTCGGATGGGTAGTAGAATTTTTCAGATGTCCGGCTGGACAGGTATTGAATTATTCCTATTACATGTATTTGCAGTTGATTCGATAACACATAGTTTCTGTCATCAATCTCTCCCTCCCCTTAGCTGTCACATTAGATTTTAAAACTGTCATCCTATCCCTTCCTATTGTATGGTTGTGTGTAATTGCATGCAGTGGGTGGTATAGCTGAACAATTCTCTAGATTTCTTAGCTTCTTCGGGTCAACCGATCTAGATTTTGCTAGGTTTTTATGTTCAGCTTGTCTGACTAACCCTGTTCTACTAGTTTGACCTATGTATTTGACCTCACAATCATTGCAGTCAGGGTATTAGATAAACTAAATTGTTTTGTTTTAAAGGCTTCACAGGATTGATCCTTTGACCGACAAAGCTTGTTTTTAATTGAGTTTATGGGCTTGAATGTCAACCACTTTTATTTCTGCCTGCATTGTTAAGAATTCTGCGTAAGGTTTCCGAGGTTCCTTCCTTGCATGGAATTACTACCGATGATATAGATTCCTTATTGTTGGTGTCGTCATTAGTATTATTATTATCACTATTATTATTATCATTATTATTGTTATCATTATTATCACTATCGCTACTATCATTATTTATTGTATTTTTATATTTCCTTACATATTTCCTGACTAATTTAACCGGGTAATTATTAAGCCACAAGGCTTCTTTTATGTGTATCACTTCCTTTCTTAGATTTTCTTTGGTACTACTTAGTTTCACGTGAATATCTGCCTGACGCTCAACGGTTTCGTCACCGTATGCAACCCATCTCAATTTCTTCGGGATATTTGTTTTGTCTATGAGTTCTTGGTTGGTTTTTTTCCTCCAGACTTCTTTGTCGCTAATTCATTCTGACTATCTAATTTGCAGTATAGATCGAAGACATCTGTTGGTGAATGTTTGCAGTGGCCGGTGTCAAAATGCTCTTGGTGACCCATACCAAGTCTTTGAATCATATAGGAGTACTGAATAACTTTATGTAGTGTTAAAAATACGAATTTTGTTGTTTATACCCCAGTGCAGTGAAGTTGCACACTGATCTTTAGATCAATGATGCTGTATCTTGCTTGCCTTACTGATCCTGGCTGGGTTTGACATCCTGACATCTGTGCCGTAGTCTGTAGTTGAAATGATGCTTCTTCTGTCTTTTTTATGTTTACTTGAATTTCTGCCTTCGTTGTCAATGTTTACTGCCAATTCGTTAGTTTTCCCCTGTAGATTTTAAAGTTTGTGTGTGTGTGTGTGTGTGTGTGTAGCACGACCGATAAATCATCTGAGAAGGTGGAAATCTTCTTGTCGGTCCTACATATTCTTGTCTTTATGCACTTCTCGCGTTCCGCTGCATGATTTCCTTCACCATAATCCCAGGGATATCATTGGTGATAGTAGACAGCCGCTCTGTCCTACTTACTGTTGTCTTCACTTCGAAAATACTTTAAGTGAAATACATATGTGCCTTATAATAATGATAGCTAGCAGTGTTGAAATGTTACATTTGTGTTTCATCCTGTTTTGTAGTAATCTTCAGTCAATATTGATTATGATAGTTTAGACACGTCGTGTTGTTGCACATACCAATCCACTCACTTTCCTCTTCGAATAATATTAACTGATGTACCGTACAGGTCTCTCTTTGCTAGCCCTAGGACGCTCAGAGAGGGGTGGTCATCCCACGACGTTGTGTCGTAGGATGACGGATATTTGTGTGTTAGGTTAGCATTGGTTGCTTGTTGCGTCACGACTCCCTATTTGGAGGCCGAGAGATAGCTCGAAACGTTATCGGATATGACCAAGACTCCCAATCATTGAAGAACGTGTTGTAATTTCTTTCTTTCCTTTCCGGCAATTATAATTGACGAAATGCTATTTGAACTTGTTAAATATGATTGCCGTCTTTCCGAATGAGGTACTTTATCCGTTCTCTACCCATATTTTTACTTCTCATCTCATATGTTGTTTATTAGTATTGTTATTTTGTACCATATTGTACCAAGTTTTGTGTGTTTAAATAAGAAATAATAATGGTAACTGGTATATACCATTAAGTTAAAAAAAGAGAGTTAGGTGTAGGGTTGTTAAATCAAAACTTGTTATAAATTCATGAAAACTCTGACTGTCGCTTTCACAGCTAGCCATATATATATATATATATATGGAGAATGAAGTGTAGCCTCTCTGATTCTGAGTTCATCGAGATGCTGCGAAACAAATAGTTTGTGACTATTCATCATTTGGCATAAAATTCTTCTAAATGACTCACTGTTTTTATCACTTATCTACCTAATGTGATGAGTGGATTGGGGATGGGGATAGGTGGAGGCGTGTTTGTGAACCTCATAGTCATTCCCATTGATTTGATGTTGAACGCCTTATAGACTAATAAACTCCTTCAATTTATAAAACACAAAATAAATAAGCAAAGAATATCCTTTTCGATAAATTCCTCTTTTGCCTCTACAATTATATGTATATATGTTTTATATGAATAGAATATTCTAGAATAGTAGTCGATAACAATATAAGTTTTTTTTAAATAATATCGATTTGTAAAGTAAGATCACAATGGAATTACAGTTCCTTAAAGATGCTCAAATTATGATAATAATAATAATAATAATAATAATAATAATAATAAAGATATAGTAGCAAATAGATTATCAACTAAAATTATGAGAATTCCATAAAATTTCAGGATCATTCAAACCTGGATGGTCAAGGTAAGGATAATGTCTTAACTAACTTCTTTTGGACGCACAAATTAGGCTTCTTAATGTGGATCCCAACATCCAGTCTCATCAATATTTAATATTCGAACTCTTAAGGCGAAATTGAGATTTGTTGGTCCCTGAATTCCTGGTTAACATCAGTCTTTTGTTCTATATCCACAAGATGAGACAGAATAACTCTGCCAATAGATTTTGTTTGTCCCCTTACACAGGGAAATGTTCGGTAATTCGACGAGAAACCCGACTAGCTTTATGACCTATGTAACTGGCTTACTCCACAAGAGCAGTTAAATTGGTAGATACACATAGAAGAGGTGAAATTAGGCAGTTTGTCTTTTACTCCCACACGCAAACGGCAGCAGGGGATGCTTATCGTTTTATCGCATTTCTAAGGCGTTGTGTTAGTATCTCGCTGATGTCATCCCCAAGGAACTGCATTTGTAAGAATAAGGTCTTGCTTTGATTTTAGATTCATATTCTTATCAATAAACTTTTCAGGATAACCATTTTCACTCAACAGCAACTGTTTAATATTATCAAGTTCCTCATCAAGATATTCATCCGAGCAGATTGCTCTTGCTTTGTGGTGAATCAAGCACTTTATCAGATTGCGTTTGTATTTCAAGGGCACGAAACTGATAAAAATGAGTATACTGACAGTCGGTTGATGTAGGTTTTCTATATACACTTCTTCTTATTGCGCAATCCTCAATTTACTTTCAATTCATTGATATGGATAAGATACAAATCTATGAACATTAGGTGGTGTTGTTGTCGTGGCAGTGTGTGTTATGTGTGCATCATGATCAAACATTTTTCAATTTTTCAAATGAAAAAAGAAATGTTTTATGATTGACATACTGTTTTTCATAAATACTATTGTCAGCTCGTTTTTAGAATAGTCACATGTACCTTTCATATGACACATTGTCATGGTGATATAAAAATAGCATGTGCGTGTGTTCGCGTTTGAGGTATATTCGAATTAATTATAATTTACAAAAAAAATTGAAATATGTATGTGGCTTGACTTAGTTGGTGATGGTAGGCTTACAATGGAATCCAGTGTATGTGTGTGTGTGTGTGTGCGGATTTCTCTCTCCATTTGAGGGCTCATCAGTCACTGAGTGTGATATTGGAACTCGAACCCATTGTTACAAATTCGAAAGTATTATCCACTAGGCTATGGATAGAAAGGAGTTTCAAGACCAACAACAAACACCTTCCTCCTGTACTAGGCTCTAGATTGTACTCACTGTGTTATCTCTAATGAATTATTAGTCTGTGCTCTTGTTAGTTTTGGGTAGGTAGGCGCCCACCCATATGGTCTGGATTGGAGTTCCTGCCTCAACAGACTTCTTAGCCTCGTGCTGACTGTGTTTATACGTCTTGTAAAAAGGAAAGGTTAGTCATGAGTTAGACTATAGCAACCTTACCCCACTGAACGAAATAACACCACTGTGTTAACTAGTGAGACTTCGAATAATAAGAAAAAAAATTGAAAGTGAATAACTACCCACCAAATTTTATTTCAGAATGAATGTGAACTCATAGAAAAAATAATATAAATAAAAAGAGATTCAAAGTTTCGATAATACTGCCGCCTTATAAATAAGGAAAATCATTCGAATTGGTTATGCCTGGGATCCACCGTATAAGACTGGGATTACAGTGGCATTGAAAGTAACCAGCTCACTCAGAGACAAACTTTATCGACCTAAGAACCTGATAAATGCAATTAAGGAAAAATAATTTGGTATACGAGCTCGCCTTGTAACCAGAAGACCCTGGGTTCGAATCCCGGTGGGTGCGTACTGATGAAGAGTCCCAAACTAGTACGAAATAGCTGTCCAGTACTCCCAGATTTTCCAGTGGTTCTCTAACCAATGTCGGCTCATGATGAAACCCTGTAACCAGTCAAATGCCTACAAACCATCACTTGAAAAATAATCTAATTTATTAAGTACTGTGAGGTTAATTACTCGTGTGGAGCTAGTAATTTGAACACATGGGCAGTTCAACGGTTGATTGCTCGCCAACGATTGTGCACATTGTGTGAGGTTCAATTCCTAGACGGCGGCACACATGTTTACCTCCCTCACCCAGTTATTAACTCGATAAAAAAGGAAGCTTCAAGGTAAGTAAGGCTAGCAACCCCACCCCACCTTCCTGTAAAAAGGAATAATACCTCGCTGCTACTGGAAACTTCGAAGTTCAAGCTTAAGGCTGTATGTTTTTCTCGGAAAGTAACGGAATAAAGCAAATAAATCAATAATAATGGAGTGATACTCGCTGAAAAAATACTCGACCAATGGATGTAACCACACAATAAAGTGTGATAGGATAAAAGTACTGGAGACGTCATCCTCCAATTATTTATGCTGTATCACTCACTGGTGTGAATTGCTATATATCGAATAAACTTATCCAAATATAGAATTTTATTCTATTCTACACTGTACAAAATTCTTCTACACTTTGTTCTTTCTTTCTTTCTTTTTCAGGTGTTAGAATCGTGTTCTCTTATGTTTCTTAAAAAATCTAAACACAGTCTACCGTGTTTTTCGTCTCATCCACCTATGGAGACTTTAACTGATGATAAAGTTGACAAAATTCCACACGAAACTGATCCTTCTGATCCGGATTTATTAACAACGCTAAAAGACAATTCTGAAGAGTTGATCAATTCTACACTGAATGAAGTAATTTTATTTTTTTGTTTTGTTTTCACTGTTCTATAACACACTTTTTTTCGCGGCACACTTTTTATATATTTCTGGTGACGTTGGCTTGCTTACTGAGCGTCCTGATTTCAAATTCTCTCCGCACCCACTTCAACCGTCAGACAATATGTGCACCACCCTAGCCTAGTGTACACGGAGGATCTTTGATTAAACACTAGGTAGCAACTAGTGTCATACGTCCAGTCCTTTGTTTAGTGTATTCTGAATTCCATCCTGTCAGGGTTGCAGATATGCTTTGCTGAGGATTGCCAACAAGCCCGAAACTCAGGTCTAGACAGGGCTTCCTTCCGATAACTTCCAGTCATCGAATAACATGAAAAATCTGTTATCTTGATAGTTAATGTCTTCATGAACTAAGTTACATTACAGACTGTTATCTGATAGAGAACCACTGACAATCAGAGAGTCCTCGACTGTGGTTTCGTCCTGGTTTGGGACTCTTCAGAAATACACATGTATAACTTCACTGTCAGGGATCGAAACCCAGGATATTCAGGTTACATGGTACTCCTGTTTGACCATTCAGTCAACGGAATGGAATCCAATGAACCATGAATTCTAACTTTTGCCAGTTCGTAGTGCATAGTACAACGACCAGTCAATGTCATAGACAACTAGTTTGGCACAACATCCAATTCGGTGAACTCCAATGGTTGCTATTTCTCATTAGGCGACCAAACAACTTCATCCCGTAGTCAATGAGCCAATCAGTGATTCTTTAACCGATAACAATCTATGATCTAACATGAAGTCAATCAAACCCCCCTGCAAACTAATACTTGAAAATTAAGGTCCTTTGATTGTCTACTGTAAGCCATCTTGGTTGTTTAAGATTTTGTACCTCAATGTTATCCTGAGTGAAGTTGAGTCAGTCTTACTCTTAGCAAAGATCACCTTTGAAATAGTTAACAGTTAGTGAAAACTGGCAATCTGACAATTTTACACACAGGTTAAAGGAGGTGAAATTTGCCCATAGTTTCTTCTGGGAACCAAAATTACTCAGATCACACAATGCGAGGGATCGAACCTCGGGCCACGTGCATGGTTGGCGAGCATTTTACCACTAAGCCACCGACGCATATACTATTGATTAATTGACTAATATAATGAACTGTTTACCACTCACATTAAACCAATAGTGTTTCCTAACCAGATCGATATGATATGAGCACCGCTCACGATTGCTTCACTAGTTTGAAGGCTGACTTCATCAGTTCACCTATGTGGAGCTAGACAGAATTCAAGTGATCCGCCACTCTGAGCTGAATTGACTAATCGGGGATACCAGTGGTGACGTCAACCCGTCAAACGAGTGCCATGGCCATCCAGTAATGTTGGCATCGCTGCAGTCTGACAGGCTGTTCAGCATTTGTAGATTGATGTGAGTGGTGCCCAACTGCCCCATCTCAATCGATCTGGTAGTCTGTATGCTGTCATGCATCGTTTACACTACACTCGCATTTATGGTTTATATAGCATATCCAGTATCTGTATGTGTTCTCGACTCTGTGGTGTGTTTCACGCTCTTATAGGGGGGTGTTTTAAAGTGTTCTCTTAAGTGATTTTTTATTTTAACAATTTTTCAACTCTTTTGTTCGCATACTTACTCCATTGCATCAATCACTCAGTCTGTGTATGTGCAGAGTACTCAAAAAGAAATGATAAAGTTATTTTCTTTCTTTCTTCTTCTTCTCCTACAGTTCTACTCTTGAATTTATTGATTGTGTCTCGTCGTTGTTATTTTTTTTCTGGCTTTTATACGCATATTTGTATATCCCCTTCTTTGTTCGTTTGTTTTTCTGTTTGTCTGTCTGTCTGTGTGTTTGCGTGCTCGCTTGCCTGCATACCTGCCTGTTGGCTTGTTTGACATTTATTTCCTTTGTTTCCAAGCTTTTCATGTGACGTCAATATGACTTTGTCTTATTTTATGCTATCAGCTGATTTGCCTATTGATTTATTGATTGGGTTCTTTCTTTTTCTCGTCTTTTTATGCATATATATATGTATATATATATATATAACTTTTGGTTGTATGTATACTAGAATTGGGACGATACAAAGAGATACCTATGAAAGGATGACGTGTAATATCCTGAAGTGTTCCGCATTCTTGCTCCTTACAAACAACCCCGTACATACGAAAATGGATAGACTTTGGTGTTCCTCTCAAAATGCTGTCATATGGCTGGCACGCATTCATAGCCTTTGCTGGATAGGTCCTACTCTTTGCCTTCACGTGGACGAGTTGTTCCTCATAAAAGTGAAAGGATGAATGCGAAAGTCAGGCGTCTACAACCTGACTTGTTGTCACTCAGGTTTACCTAAGAAAGTTGGAAAATTCTGATTCCAAACTTTTAGTGTACATAGACTCCAATATCCGAACATACAGAATGGCGCGTATGAACGTGTGTATTGGTCACCGGAAAGCAAGGAAGCGCAGCTATTGACGCTGCTTCGCTGCCTTGTGGATCAAAATTCAAGTCAGAAGCTCAGATACAGGGGGATATCTCTTAAGACAATAATCTGCTTCGCTCTGGGTGTATGAGGAGTATGTCAGCCCTCGTGCAAACTATGAAATTTTGTGTGGCACATCTCTTGGTGTCCATAATGTACTAAGTTTCTGTTTTAATAATAATGGTATCTCGTGAATTTAATGCGATCACCAACCAATATCATCGGTGAGTGTTTGTCCTCACTCGCAACCGGGTAGATCCCACTGGTCACGACTTCTCATTAAAACTAACTCCCGGCAACTTCGTTCTGTCCGCAGTCACTAGCAAGCATCAAACTGATTTTCATGAGTTAGTTTGTAGAGGGATTTGATTTGTTCCAAGTTTGCCCGTGGATTGATATCAGTTCGAGAACCACTGTTGAAAACCACTAGGAGTTACTGTACAGCTGTTTCTTCCCCCATAGTTTCAAACCCATCGCTCTAAAATCATATATTAGTAGAAGTTACAGCTCATGGGTCCCAATGGTTGAATCGTCTACGAGCTTTCCTTGTGACTGGAACGTCTTGCGTTCGGACAGCAGTGAGCGCTTACTGGTGATGAGTCTGAAACTAGGACGAAACAGCTGTCCAGTCAGTGCTCTCTGGTTTTCAGTGATTCTCCAACCGAAGTTGATTCAGTACGAAGACTACATTGATATTCGTTCAAATCCTCATACACCTCATATTCCTTCATATCAGTTTCCAGATTTTAGAGCCTATACGGATATCACCTAATTGTACTGTGAAACCATGACTATTGGGATCCATCATTTCAAGGTGAAGTGGATGTTCGTGAAAAGCATTTGTCGATGGTGGCGTTATATAATAAATTGGCAAAGTTAAAAGTAAAGGTTGGGTCACTGGACCCCTGGTCAAGTGGTTGGATGATCAGTTAACTGAACACATAACTTAAAGTTCGTACTATGTCGGGCTGAAGAGTTTCAAACTAGGACGAAACAGCTCTGCAGTGCTGTTCGGTGATTTTCATACTCTAAATATTCGTTTTCGTCAGGAAATCAGCTAGCTGGAATACATTTACCATGTACTAGTTTTTGTACTACACTTATTCTGAGAGAGATGATGATGATATGACCTAGTGGTACTCGAACTCAGGGAACTAAGCCATACCTTCACAAGTAATATCAGTTATATTTGCTTGAGTCACCTCTGCTTTCTGTGTTTCAATCCCAGGCATATAGGTGCAAGATGATCATGTGACTGAACATAACCATACCAAGTTTAGACTTGTAACGAATACGTATAACCTCTTTTCTACTCACAATACACGTGCTTCTGTCTGCTGACCGACCTTCGGTCATACTGGAGATGCGTGCGCGCATACTGTTGAAGAGTCCCAAACTAGGATGAAACAGCTGTCCAGTACTCCTAGGTTTTTCAACGGTTCTCTAACTGATGTCAGCTCATATATCACTGTCTTCTTTGGTAGACTGACTTCTTACTTTTTCGTGCAGATTAATTTACTTATCATCTCATGTCTATATGTTCTGGCATGAATAAAAAGCGAACTAGAGGGAAAAGGGTAGCTGACAAGTAATCTTGTTGGCATAGTTAAGCCATGTTCGAGGTCAGTGCGTCTAAGTCTAGCATCGGTGTCCCTATTCTATTTCAACTGGGAATGTATAATGAAACATAATACTCTCATTGTCTTCAGCGCATGAATATGCAGTCATTGGTTTCTGAGACTCGAATTTCTTTACTTCAGCCTATAGGAATTAACAGTATCGTCCATCAATCAGCCTTCACATAATAAAGTACTAACACGAATCAATAGTGAATTTGTTTAATTACTGTCAGAATAATTCACATAATATTGTGTATTAATTTCTCATTCTAGTGTACATGTCCTGATGACGATGGCAACAACGACGCTACATTATCATCATCATCATCATCTGCTGCTGCTGCTATTGATGATGATCAGTTTGATTTTGGTAAATCTTTACAATATTTACTAGAAGCTTTACATTTAAATAATCCGGTATATACTGTTTCTATGGCTACATCAACAACAACAGCGCCAGTACATATCTCCAATGAAACAACATCTATGATAACTCAGACAGAATTAATTCAAGGTGTTGATGTTGCAACATCAGTTACTCTGTTGAATCAAACTACTGAAGGTAAATCCCCTATGCATTATTTTCATTGTCATTTCTAATCTGTACATGTTCATTTATTTATTGAAGGAATTATTTTTGAATGACTAACGTTCCAATGTCAAACTAGAGAACATTTTCAATGTTATTATATTATTTTATATTTGTTTCCTTCTGATTGAAATATTGTGACTAATGCACTCAGGTCTTTGTCATCACTTCCAACTAAGTGTGTGTGTCTCCCCCCCTCAAAGCTATCCCATCTCCTCACCACATTGATCTACACTGTTTCAATCTTGGATACCCAGTTACATAGGTTGAACAAATATTAGACTTGATAGTGTGAAATATTCCCATATTATGAATTAAAAGTCAATCTGAACGAAGAATATTCTTTTCAATAATTTCTCTTCAGGTTCTTACAATTATAAAATATAATATTTGTGGTCGTTACAATAAAGATAGCCAGGTATGCGGCGGATACATTTTTTAACGTAGAATAACAGATTAGTTATGGGGTGTCAAAATAAATAGTCATATTTGTGTGACAAACGTGCTAGGCTGAAATCGATTAGAAATATTGTAAAACGGGAGACAATAGTGGTGGTTAATCATAATGGAATTGTAGAGTGTGAGGTAGGAAAATTGACAAATCAGTTCAAGGTTATGAAAGGGTTCAGGTGAGTGGCTAGTACAAAGTGGTCTGAGTTAAGCAGGATATAGTAAGACTGGAATGAGAGGATCATAGTGAGATAACGAATATATTAAATGAAACAGGTGGAGGCATATATTGAGAAAACAGATAATATCACTAATAATAAGTCCGTACAAATGAAAATTCGATAGTATTGAGGGAATGTTTGCATAAAGGGCATAAATTATGACGAATAATAATAACTAATAATAATATTCATAATAATAAGCAAATTAAAAAGAAAAAAAACCAAGAGGCTTAAGGGGAAGGAGCACTCTTGGTGAGAAGAAAAATCTTCAATCCAAGGTTGGCCACGGTAGGAACAGCGTCTGGACGTGTTCCTTTTGGATACACAGTTCCGATTTAGTCGATCTTATTGCAACAGCTTCAGCTATGTGTAGGAGACGTAAGCGAACTGTACGTGATGACGACTTCGGAATTCGGTATATAACTCTGAAAGCTGTGTTGACATCGATGCGATGTCCAGTATCGACCAGGTGTGACAGGATCGAGCTTTTTATGCACTTAATTTCCCCCCTGCTGAACCAAGCTGGTAAGTGTTCTCGAACCCGTAGACGAACCTGCCTAATCGTGCGCCCTATAACTATTTATTTTGACACCCCATAACAGCTAATCTGTTATTCTACGTTAAAAAATGTATCCGCCGCATACCTGGTTATCTTTATTTTATTGTAACGACCACAAATATTATATTTTATAATTGTAAGAACCTGAAGAGAAATTATTGAAAAGAATATTCTTCGTTCAGATTGACTTTTAAATATTAGACTGTCCAGTAACACCGATGATTTTCCTGGTCGTGTTTGATAGTGAACCTTGTGGTTGGTGGTAAACAGTTGGGTGTATATTGAATCGACCAAAAGACCATAGGTGATCTATACTTGACAAGTGACTTATTGCTTGTGTCTCACAAAGTTGAGGATATACATACTAGCAAAAACCAATAAGTTGATGAATTAAGCAGTGAAGATGGGACTACATATAGTGAACATATAGAGAAGACAGAGGTGATGAAGATGCCTAACCAATAATAGCAACAAGTAGCATAAACGGGAGAAAAAATTAAAGGATGTCGTCTCTTGAACTTACCTAGACAGCACCGTTTCAAGTACAGATGACACAGCTGAAGATGTCAAAGACAGGTAGAATTGGTTAAGCACGCCAGGTCTTAATTAATCTGAACCCGATATTTAGACCTACAACACTCAGTGGAAGAAACAAGATCAGAATTCCCAACACCAATGTGATGCCAATGCTTCTATATGGCTTAGAGACTTAATGTGTCTCTCAAAGCATTTCCCCTGTGTATTGAAGATCAGGTGGCAACAGAAATAGGTTGGGCACACGCTGAGAAGACCGTTGAGCAGCGACACTGGGCGCAAGATGACCCTCTAACGGAACCTGATTGTAGAAAGATGAGTTGGGTGTCGGTTCAAACGTGACATGGAGGAGACGATGTGATGCAAGGAGAATAGAAGCTAGCTTATAAGGATAACAGAAAATAGTGTGAAATGAGGGTGTACTCCTGAAGCCCTTTGCTCTACTTGGAATCCAGTCACCTGTGACTCATTGTTTTCTTTATATAGATATAAATCAGTACATGTTGGATTTAAATCCACTAGGTGGTGAAATAAAGTGCGTCGGTTAGGACTCTCGCCGACCATGCACATGGTCCGGGGTTCGATCCCCGGCCGACTCACTCCTTTACCTCTCTAAGCCAGAAATAATGCTGGTAAAGAGGTAAGGTTGGACATGAGGCTAGCAACCCCATCATGTAAAAATAAACACTGCTACAGAAACTTGAAGCCACTAGCTTGAAGTCTTATGTTCCACTGGGAACGTGAAGGAAAAATTAAATTAAATTATTAGGTGGTGAATAGATGGTCAATGTGTTGGACTGATCATCTTAAGACTTTGCTTTCCATCCCCTAGTCTTAGACTCTCCAAGCCTCAACGATTGACTTGCTAACTGATGTTGGTCTATTGAAAGTTAATCTTTGTAGCAGATTTGTCTTTAGTAATTACTTCCACCACTACTATAATGTATGAAGATGACGGGTAATATGTAAAGCTGCATACTACTGACCGATGGATATAAGTAGATGAACGCAACTCACAATAAACAGTGATGTGTGTCTGCTAGATCGAAGTGATCTAACCATCACTAGACGGCCACTTCACTTGTTTGAGACCCAGCTCACCCGTGTTGTACGCGGTATGGCTGTCATTATCATTCATTTTATCATTAGATGATCAGGAGAGTTTTGTGTACTGTTTAGAGTGTGTGTGGGCGGTTGTTACTTACTTCCCGGCTTTCCACACCGTTGAAATTGTCTTTAGCTTAGGGTACCTGAAATAGAAACAGCACTGATTTGTTGCGTTACCGCAAATTCTAGAGGACATCTGCCTGAGGCCCGTTACATGCACAGTGGATTTGAACTAGCTTCTAGAGTAGCATCTTTATTCAGACCCTAATGCAGCAATGTAAGCCAGAATGTGCCATTTCCGTGGTTGACCTTTTGGATCGGAGAAGCAGCATAGCTGACTTACTACCAATCTGAGGGAAACACCTTACTGTGGTGAGAGCAGGCCGTGAGAAAATATGTACAAGGCTGATTCGACAACCAATCACAGCAGACTTAACGTGGCATAATATGATTCGCAGATAAAGAACTCTATTTTTCGAGGAATCCCGAAACAACCAATCAGAAGCCTGCGTTTCCTGGTTAACTTCTGATAAACAACCATTCAGATGACTGCGCTTGTCTACTTGCATAAGCTATAATAATGTATGTGAAATATATATAAATACGTGTTGATTTTCGTAATAAAACGATCTATTGCCTGGCCCTTGTCTTCTGTTGTTACATTACTGCTGTTGCATCCCTGCTCGTCTGGGGATATGACTTCACCCACAGACCCCCTAACATAATGTGTGAGCGACTTATGCTATGTGATGGTAACTATTGCTTTACGTCTAAGCGGTATCCAAACTATCTATCTGGTACGATAGGACTTGCAGGAACATTTATTCGGTCATTGCGATATACAAGCCCCCACCACCACCACGTCAAAGTGGCAGCTGTCAAATGATAAGGGAAATAATTTCTCTCCGATTTTTTTAAACTTTCAATTAATTTGATTTCCTCACGTTGTGATGCGTTGATAGTTCAGCGATAGACTTGTCCGGAATTCGAATCCTGTCCGACATCACTCCTAAACCTCGCTTAACCAATAGTAAAACAGAGAAAAAGAGAACGTTGGGTGTGAAGCTAGCAGCTCCACTATTACTGTAACCCCAACAAAGCTCAAAGCTTTGAGGCCTTGTGTATTCCACTCGGAAGATAAACGACTAAAATTAAGTCAAGATTAATATGTTATGCTTAGCTTCCTCTCCCACTGTGTGTGTGTGTTTTCCACATTGATTTTTTTTAATTCTTCATTTGATGATACAATCATTCATTTTGTGCATGATATGCGCAAATATACATGTTTAGATCTTATGTGATCTCTAGTTGATTAACAGTTCACACACACACACACACATGTTCAGTAGCACACAGGTACAACCACACATTACGAAACCAAGACAAGTAAACCTGTTAGATGTTAGTCCACAAAAATTCTGCCCGTATAGGAAACTATTTGTGAATGTGTTTCAACCTAATGATAGTGTTTGTTGTTTACCCGTACATCTTTGACACCTTTCACCTGAAAATGTATAAGGTGAATGTTATGTTCTGTTATGCATCATCGATTAATATGCTAGACTTGAAACCGTTCATCATCATAAGTGTCTGTGTTTTGTATTTCAAACTAGGCAGTATAATACAATGAGTAATCGTGAGGTTATGCGTAGAGTGTTGCGTGTTTACTGTGAAAGAAAGTCAACAGATGAGACTGTAGAGTTTTATATTGATTCAGGCGTTTAGAAAATGGGATATAAATGGATCACAGGATTTCATCATGAGCTGACATCGGTTAGAGAACCATTGGAAAACCTTCACTGGAGTATTGGACAGCTGTTTCGTCCTAGTTTGGGACTCTTCTACAGCTTTCCAATGGTTCTCTAACCAATGTCAGCTCACGATGAAATTCTGTAACCAATCAACCAAATCCCCACAAACCAACACTTGAATATAGATGGATTACGTTGGAGAAGAGAAAAATAAGATTTACGAGTGATCAAACCAAAGCATAACATCCTATGCATGCTTTCGAGGTCTTCGACTGTTGGTTTGTGCAACATCAAGAGAGAGAGATGGGGGGGTTGAAGTACAGAGTTCTTGATTTAGAAGTCTTCAGGAAGCTAAGATCCAAGAGTGTTGCTGATATTCGCCTTGAAATCGTATGTGTATTCACTGTATTTGTGATTCTTACCTAAATTAAGTGAATGAATCTCTGTTTTTGTTTCCCGAACATTTTATTTATTTATGTTCATGATAGTTTTCTTTATATTTCTGTCCTTAACCTTCTTTTTCACCTGTGTGTATGTATGTGTATGTGTTGCAATATGAACTGCAATTGTGTTGTTGTTGCACTTTTGTACAAAATTCTAAACGTTGAAAATTTAGTTCAATTCAATTCTCTAACACTTTACTTAGGCCTAAACTTGAGGATAATCTGATTGGTTAGTGTATTTGTGCACGCATGTGCCTGGTTGTGACTGTAGGTTTTGTGTATATTTATACACAAATAACCTGTTTGCTTCAATTTGCCCACAGGTCAAATCACCTCTTCCTCTTTTTCCTACTTTTTCATTTGAAAAATCTTCAGGTAAATATTAAAGTTTGGCTGTCATCTATGCGTCAGCGTGATATGATGTAAGCCGAGCTAATATATTAAAACATCCTACCGATAGCTCCCTTTACTTTGACGTGGTTTTAGTAATGGTCAGACACTTGCATATTGCAGCCATCTAAAGAAATACACTAGCTGAAACTGATGATGTTCTTGTAAAAGGTTTTGTGGATAGCGATTAGACTAAAAATCAGTTACTGTCATCATAGTATAGGTCACTCACACACACTGTGTTGGAGAAGGGTCTGTGGACGATGTCGTACTCCTGGCAAGTAAGGATGTAACAGTAGTAAGGTGTTTCTCTCAGATGAACTGGCAAACGAGTTAGCTATATTACCTCTCCAGATCTGGAGAGCGGTGGGGTTTACGACAGGGTGAACTTCGAGAATGATACCTCCCGGTTTACGTTGCGGTAGATCGTAACCAGCGGTAGAATCATAATATGGATGCGACTTATACGCATCATATTTTATCGGCTCCAACTGGTCCTGAGGTCACAGGAAGCTGATGCTCCTTCTGTTTTAAGTTCCCCATAAAAAAATCAACTTCTACATTATAGACAGCCGGAAAGTGATAACCACCTATACACTACCAAAAGCATCCCAAGCACTCATGACTAACATCCGCCTTCACCTAATATAAACCACCAATTCAGTTATAGAAAATACACGCTGGCGGTAACACATGAAATGTCCACTCATTTTTTTAACATACATACGCTAAGATCAATAGTTAAAGACTTAGTGAATCATTTTTTTTTGATTGCATGTAGGATTTAATCATGAGCTGACATCAGTTAGAGAACCACTGGAAAACCTGGGAGTACTGGACAGCTGTTTCGTCCTAGTTTGGGACTCCTCAGCAGTACGCACCCACCGGGATTCGAACCCAGGACCTTCTGGTTACAAGGCGAGCTCGTAGACCATTGAGCCACTGGGACCCGATCCAATGGTCCTTGAATTCTAACTTCTGCCAGTTCACGACATAGCGCGACCACTTCGCAATGTCTTCTTCGATGAGTTACTGTCTCATCTTCAACCTGCTGTACCCTACTGGTCACGGCTTCCCACTAGAACCCCAGGTTAACTGCCTGAATAGGGCCAGTCACTAGTGAGCATCAGATGAATTTTTAAGTATTGGTTTGTTGTAGGGATATTGTTTGATTGCATGGAGGATTTAATCATGAGCTGACATCAGTTAGAGAACCACTGGAAAACCTGGGAGTACTGGACAGCTGTTTCGTCCTAGTTTGGGACTCCTCAGCAGTACGCACCCACCGGGATTCGAACCCAGGACCTTCTGGTTACAAGGCGAGCTCGTAGACCATTGAGCCACTGGGACCCGATCCAATGGTCCTTGAATTCTAACTTCTGCCAGTTCACGACATAGCGCGACCACTTCGCAATGTCTTCTTCGATGAGTTACTGCCTCATCTTCAACCTGCTGTACCCTACTGGTCACGGCTTCCCACTAGAACCCCAGGTTAACTGCCTGAATAGGGCCAGTCACTAGTGAGCATCAGATGAATTTTTAAGTATTGGTTTGTTGTAGGGATTTTGTTTGATTGCATGGAGGATTTAATCATGAGCTGACATCAGTTAGAGAACCACTGGAAAACCTGGGAGTACTGGACAGCTGTTTCGTCCTAGTTTGGGACTCCTCAGCAGTACGCACCCACCGGGATTCGAACCCAGGACCTTCTGGTTACAAGGCGAGCTCGTAGACCATTGAGCCACTGGGACCCGATCCAATGGCCCATGAATTCTAACTTCTGTCAATTCACGACATAGCGTGACCATTTCGCAATGTCTTCTTCGATGAGTTACTGTCTCATCTTCAACCTGCTATATCCTATTGGTCACGGCTTCCCCACTAAAGAACCCCAGGTCACTGCCTGAATAGGGCCAGTCGGTAGTGAGCATCAGATTAATTTTCAAGTATTGGTTTTGTATGGATTTTGTTTGATTGCATGGAGGATTTCATCTTGAGCTGACATCAGTTAGAGAACCACTGAAAAACCTGGGAGTACTGATGTCAGCTCATGATGAAATCTTCCATGCAATCAAACAAAATCCCTACAAAACCAATACTTGAAAATCATTTTTGTTATCGTTTGATTTATCACTATTCAGGGTTTTTCTATTTGTAGTCCAATTCTTGGTCTTAATAAGGTATTAGACGTTTATCGATAATGTATGTAGACTGACTGAGTTGAGCTCAGCTTTCAACACAGAACTCAGAGGTAAAGTAGAACACAGTTCATTGTCGTCAAACCCCATGTATAGTATGCACAAAGTTAGAAGAGGAAAAAAATACAACCAGTTGAGAAACACAAGAGAAAAAGTGATTATTAATAATGAGCGTCTAATGGATCTCAGCGTTCACAAAGAATGAATAAATCTGTGCCATTTATAGCATTTTAGTGCCATTTGATCAATAGTCTTGAATACCCCCAGACAGCCAATCAATCTGCACCTCCCTACCTGTCTCCAAGTGTGAAGAGAATAAATTGGAAGTGAGGCTCATTTTGGTTATCGGTAGTTCATTGGTGGTGGGATGCTCGCATGCCATGCGGGTGGTGCTGGCAAATGAACTCCGTCTTTTTTAGTGTGGCCATACCACGTTGAAAACGCCGGTCCCTCACTTGATCACCGGAGTTTGGCGACATCGGGCTCGGTGTATTATGGCCTGCAAGGGTTACTGGATGTAAATAACAGGTGGGGGGGGGTGGTCTAGTGATTAGAATTTCTGGCGTTCTTGTAGGTCGTATTCATGCTAGAGGTCACGGTTCGACTCTTGAAACTTCACCCAGTCTGTAGTAAGTTTAGAAAAGAAGAAAGTTTAGGTGTGAGGCTAACAACTGCATCCCGTAAAGACAATACCACTGCGAAGGAAATTTCAAAGCTCATAGCTTGAGTACCTATTTTTAACTCAAAGAATGAAAGAAAAAGTAATGTCTTATTGATGTTTAAATGTTCAACTTCCAACGACACTTTCATTCACGAGTTCGAACGCCGATCATATTCACTCCTTGCGATCTAAGTTGAAGCATAAAACATCAACTATACTTTCGCATTGCATTCGGTTAACAACTATTACTACTTTCGATGTAGTCTACAATTGCCCACAAATTGCCACACTACCTTCTCATTTGGTCTTCTTTATACCGTCACATAGCAATCTGCTTCCAGCTACACACTTGATTGACTCTGACATAGCTCCATTGCCTATGCCAATTGTGCATGTTGGTGACTTTGTTGACTAACATTTCACTTTTTGTTTTTGTTTTTCCATCCTCGTTTAGTTGACGTATTATTCTTGTCTGTATTTTTTCCCTTTGTTCTATAGATTGTAATTCTGAAGGTGGGAAAATGCCAACATGCGTAAGTATATTAAAAGTTTAATTGTATATTTATGCTTTTATCATCAAATCTCTACAGGTTAACTCTTGAAAATTAACCTGATACTCACTAGTGACTAACTCTCTACAGAACGAAGTTGCCTGGAGTGATTTTTAGTGAGAAGTTTTGATCAGTGGGGGGGGGGGAGTGGTCGATTCTGTCGGCGTTCGTGGCACAGGTCTCTTTAGTTTGGAAACAGGTATAGTGCCATCTTGTGGACGTAGAGTTCGAATACTGATGCATTGTTGCCGGACAGGTGCTAAATAGGGACGGTGTCTGTGGCGACTTGTCGAGGATTGCTGTTGTGTGTGTGTGTGCACTGTTGACTAAAACCATCGTTGTGTCCAACATTACTGAAGCATTGATACCGGTGTTACTTATACAGACAGGATTCCACGAAATGCCAGGTACCATAAAGCGAGCGTAATAATCAAAATTTCGTCTGTGAACCTCGACCGATATTGTGTGAGTAACTGGGAAGATGGATGTTTGAGGTTGGGACCAGGGGTGTGTGTGTGGGGGGGGGTTGAGAGGTCTGGCGAACCCCATTGATTTCAGGACTACCTTGGTGTGTAGTGACTGTAATTAATTAATGTGGTTGTTCCAAAATGGTGTTCAACGTCGAAGAAAACACCAACAATAATGCTGTCGTCAAATTTTAGGGTTCATATCAGGTTCAAATCAGAGAGCCATACTCTCCACAAGGAATACTCAGCTAATGTCACTGTTAACTTCTGTGTTTCGCTCACAGCTCTACTACAAGGCCATGTGATTGCACCTTACACCATAATTTAACATCACCACTATCAACAACAACAATTACAACAACACAAGAAATCTGTGACACACTCTTTAGAATCCACAATACAACACACTTATCTTTGTTAAGTGACCTCATTCTCACTTGTGTGAGCACATAAATAAACACAATAAGAAGTGAATGACACAATAACACCTTTTAAACCAAATGATCAATACTCAATAATCATGATGATGACGATGATAGTAACATGTTTTGGCATGTTCTTGTTTTTCGTATATTATGATAATTCCCGCCTATCTATTTAAAAACCAATACAAACCTCACAATACAACACACTTCTATAGAAAATTGGTAGATTGCTCTAACCAATTGTGAATCATGCAACCGGATGTATGTGTGTTCAAGCCGTAGTTTCTAATGCCTTAATAATGAATCATTCGAAATTTCGTTTCTCATCACGGATACAGAGGGCTAGTTTCGCATACTCCAGTTTTCGCCGTCTCTGGCGTATACGTGATATCCGACTATCGACCAAAGGCCGGGTGTACTGCTCATCAGTCCTCTCCGTCCTCCTTTATGGCTGTGAGACCTGCCTATTGAGAGTGGAAGACATGAAGAGATTAACTGTCTTTGATCATAGGCTCCTGCGCTCTATCTCCTGTGTCACATGGTGGTATAATAAGGTGAGCAATATTGAGGTTAGGCGTCGAGTGATAGGTAAGGAGGGAGGGGAAATCAATCGACGAGGCTGTGAAGCAGCCGCTGAGATGGTTAGGTCATGTGTTACGTATGCCTAGTCATCACCTTCCTCGACGGAAAATGTTAGCTAATATAGGACCAATCAGGCTGGAAAAAAGCTAGCGGAGGTCAAACCAAAACATGGCCTCACCAGTCAATGAAATCCACAACAGTTAGTCTAAGCAACGTAGGAAGGTGTAGACTTCCTGACTGGTTGGGGTCCTCGGGACGGTAAAAACCAGTGAAAGCTGGAAACAATTGGTGATATGGCTCAAAATCGTTCTCAATGACCAGCGCAGATGCATCCACTCCATGTGACTTATGATTTCCGATGAAACTGTTTTGTTCTTCGTTACTACTATTCCTTTGTTTCACACCTCTGTTTACTGTGTCTATTATGCGTTTCTTTCACTTTATTCTCTTGGTTTGTGTGCTACAAGGAGGGATTGTGGTGACTTGAACTGTCGCACATCGGTGGAAAGTTCTATGTCGAAAACAGACAGACATATTTAAATATATATTGCCTGTTGAAGTATGCGATGCAGTGAAGTCTCATAGGCAAATACTGCTGTGATGGAGAGGAGGAAGCTAGGGTTGGGGGTTAGAATGCAATGAAACCACAACTCCATGGTTCTCTAATTCATATCTGTCAGCGATGAAATCTATGTTGAAAAGCAATCAGATTCTTACAACCTGATAGGTAGATTGTCATTTGTTCGCTGATAGAATGCACTCACTAGCCACACATGGATGTGGCGAATCCGGATGTAATTCCTGCCAACCCCCTTTCACCCTGATTGGCTCACCAACTTGTAGTGAAGCGCTGGCTAAAAGCAACACCGCTACTCTAACTTCAAATCTTGAATTACTCTATATACCACTCGGAAATCAAAAGTTGGAATTCATGTTGCATTGAATTGCGCACAAGTGGCTTGATGGTCGTAGATTCGGACTGCAGTTGGGCCACATACCACTAGAATGAAGCAGCTTTCCCTGGACATATGTATACATAAGCAGACGTCTTCAAGTTTCATCGCCGATTGGCATCAACTAGACAAGCATTGTAGACCACCAACTCCTTCATTCAAGTATTAGTTTGTAGGGATTTGGTTGGTCGGTTGGTTACGGGATTTCATCATGAGCTGACATTGGTTAGAGAGACATTGTAAAACCCGGGTCCTGGGTTCGAACCGCGGTGGGTGCGTACTGATGAAGAGTCCTAAACTAGGACGTAGGAAACAGCTCTCCAGTACTCCAGTGAAGGTTTTCCAATGGTTCTCTAACCAGTATCAGCTCATGATGAAATCCTGTAACCAACTCCTTCATTCTTCTTGGGGACTCTTGGGTAGTACTCATTTGCCGCAAACACCACCCGCCACCTAGAACTTTTACGTCACTCTGTGAACCCTTTGATTATTCAGTCACTGAGAAAGATTCCAGTGATGAACTTGTTGCTTAACGGTTTTTTGATTCATTTGTCTAATGATAAATTTATTTTGTTGTCAACTTGGAAAAACATAATCTGTGTATGGTGTTTCTGTTTCTGTCTAGATTTCCGCCTCCTCAAGTAGTACTGCACCCTGTGTCTGTGATTCTGCTGCTAGCAGCAGCAATATGAAGGAAATCACTGATGGTAGAGGTGATATTCACAATACAGACGATTCAAGTAGTTCTAATTATCTAACTGTCTCATCGTATAATAATAATAATAATAATTCGTCATCATCACGTAATATTTCTTCTGCATCGACTTCTGCGGCCTCGCGTTGTACATCACCTACCTCACTGTCTCCTGTCCCACTGTTACAACAAGAACAATTGGTTAATACATTCAGCAGTGATAATACTAGTACTGCGATTAGTGGCAGTAAGCATAAATCGAATGCTTTGGAAACTTCCACTTGTAATTTATCGGGTATTTCTAAAAAGTCCGCTGAACGCTATACTAGTTTTGTGCATTCAAAGTGAGTTTCTATTTTTTCTGTTATCTTTGTTTTTGTTCCTTATCCTCAGTTTTTTCACCTTTATTATATTTCAGAATGTGCATTTTTTTCCTATTTGGGATTCGTCATCTAGATGCACCTGCATTCCACAGTGAGTGATAATGCTCCCACCGAGACTCGGACACAATGTCCATAGTTTCAAACGTCAAGGCGTTATCCACTTGGGCCACGAGAGCCACATCTTGTGCAACGGGTCATATTAATTATTTGATTCAATTTAAGATTTTCCCGTCGGTTGATTGGACCTAAGTGCTCGGTCTCAGATTGACATGTCGGTTTCTTGTGCAGATGCTTTGACGATGTCTGGGCAAACCTCGGTGGGAACATCAACACTCACGGGGGAATGCAGGTGCATCCAGTTGGCGAGTCCCAAATAGGACGAAATGCGCGTTGTGCTGAATTCCACCGCTAGTCACCATCCACCAATTAGCTTCTAATTTCACGCCCAGACACTGTCGAAGTATCTGCACAAGAAGCCGACATGTCAACCTGGAACCGAGCACTTCTGTCCAATCAATCGATGGGAAAATCTAAAATCGAATTAAATAATTTACTTTATTTCATCAAGTGGTGTTTACTTGTCTATGGGATTATTCTTCAAGGTATTCAACTATGAATGAATCGTTTTTGAGTAAAAATCTTACAACTCAACTAAATTCGTACCACACCTCTGTGAATATTATCTTCACTAATTTCGTGATGACGATTAAGATCGATTCATTTCAGAACCGAACACTGGAATATTAAAATAAACAAATAAGAGTTTGATTGTAATGATTGAATTTGTTTCACATTTGATCACAGACCACTTAAAGTTAGCAGGAAGTACTAAACAGACAGCCAGTTGTTCTGTGCTAGTTTGGGACTTGTTGGCAGTAATCACCCGTCAGAGTTTGAACCCAGGACCTTCCGGTTGCAAGGCAAGCTTGTCAGTGACTGACTACAGAACGAAGTTACTTGCTGTCCTGGCATCACCTTGTTATGGAAGGCTAGACAAATACTCGTCATGGATGGTCGTGCTAAAATCACGAATTGTCAGAAGTCAAGATTCATGGCTGGTCATCGAGTTAAGAGGTCCCAGTGACTGTAACCGGAAGGCCTTGAGTTCGAACCCTGGTAGCTGTGAACTTTTGATAAGTCCCGAGCCAGGCTAACGCAACAGCCGTCCAGTACTCCCTGTTGACTTTCAATGATTCTCTTATTGATATCATACAAATCAAAACCCTAGAAACTAAATCTTGAAACGAAGAAGACCCAAACGAATAGATTTTCATTACGATTTATACTACTGATTAATGAATATGAGTAGTTGGAAACCACTGCCTCAAATAAAGATGGAATTGAACTAAACGTCACCTAACTGCATACCTTTTCTCTCATTGTTGGAAGCTGAACTCATCAGCAGTGTACTCTAGCCAATTCATCTGAGAATGACGAATCATTTGAAGCTAGACCAACATCACAAACCAACATTAGTCGGAGAGATCATTGAATACCAGGAATCACTAGACACCTATGTCGTCCTAGTTTGCAACTGTCAGCAGTGCGCACACCTACAACCCCTTACAAGAAGTAGAGCTGGGAACCTTAAGGTTATGAGAGACCAAGCTCATTGACTGTTCACCTCGTTGTGCAGGAATCTAAACATCAACCTAACTTACTAGTACCTCCTAGATGGATGTCTCGAAGCTTTACGTTAGATAGAATTTATGGCTAGTGAGGACCGCAGTGTCAAGATGAAGTAAATGCTTATTGAAGGTATTGATTGAACTGACACTGACGGAGGGATAGAAATTGCAAGCCATCGAATTCCAAGCTAAGTACCTGAATGGTCAACGAGTTTGCTTTCTTAACTTGAAGGTCATGGATTCGACCTTTATTGTCAGTGTCACTGATATGCACTGTTGAAGGATGTGAAAGAAAGTAGGGTGAAATAGCTGTTCATTTCTCACTGGTTTTCAATGATTTCTCTAACTGATGTTTAAATCGTTACGTAATCTACACAGAGGTTGATACAAAACCCTGACAAAACCTCATTATCTTCTACCTGTTTTTTTTTCTGCATAGTTTTGCACCGAATGATATTGTAATCTTTGTGCCAGTTCAAGGATCGAAACCAAATACTTCAGGATTATGTACTACTGATGGTGCCACTGCTACTACCACGACGACGTCGACGTTGACGACTACTACTAGTGATGCCAATTCCAGCGATGCTGACAGTTCAATGACAACAGCAACAACAACAACAACAACGATGGCGAGTGATATAACACCTACAACCAGTTGTATTCTATCACAACAAGACACCAACAATCCTAATAATAATAATACTGACTTAACAAATATAACAAAATCTGATATATGGTCTGTCAGTAGTGGTAAACTTTCTTTAAATCTCCTCGATGTAATTTCACCTTCATCTAGCTTGCTATCTTCAATGATTGTTCAGTCATCTTTACCATTGTGTTCATCAATATTTGGAACAAGCAGTAGCACGAGCACAACAACTACAACAATGGCTGCCAGTACCACAACTGCTTCGACGGCTGCAACAAAAACGATGCATAAAAGTGCCTATCCATTAAATAGTAATACTGCTTTAGCCAATGAATTCTACTCCAGTGCATTGTTAGGCGGGGAGGTATTTTTACCAACTGTGAACGCTGCTACTACTAATACCACTGCAACAACACTGGGAGCAGGAGAACTACCCCTATCATCAACGACAACAACTGCTGCTACTACTACGACTGGCGATGGTTCACATATTCAATGGCGTATGTTATCCTCCGATGGACATGTCTACTTTTTACATCAAGATGACTTTAAAGCCTTAAATATTGATGAGAATACTGACTATTGTCAACCGATCAGTTCTAATCTACAAGAAACAAGTAAGTAATAATTTGGTGAATATCCCCTCCACTAACCAACCAACCAACCCCCCTAACCCAACCCCACCCCACCCCGAATACACCCATAATTTATTTAGAACAAGTATAATTAGGGGCGTCGGTGGCATAGTGGTCAGGACACTTGCTGACCATGCGCATAATCCGACTGACTCACTCCTTTACCTCGCCAAACCAGTAATAAAAGTCGGTAGAGAGGAAAGGTTGGGCATGAGGCTAGCAACCTCATCCTGTAAAAATAAACACTGCTACAGAAACTTCAAGCCTCTCTGGCTTGAAGCCCTATGTTCCACTGGGAACGTGAAGGAAAAAAAAGTACAATTAGAGGCCACGATTATTTTGATGTCATTGGATGGAAGATGATTTGTAGTAGAATCCAATAATATGATTCATACCTGTTGTTGCACCAGTGGTGGCTCTCGTGGATAATGAAGTGACTCAGTAGTGGATAAGGAACGCTTTAATGTCTTGAAACGATGGGTGTACTGACTGGATTCGAGTCTCATTGAGAATGCAAGTGTACTCAGCTGAGACGAGTCCCAGGACTCCACTCATGGTCACCATTAGCCGAATTACTCCTAGTTAACCCTTCAGACCATCATTGAAGGGTCCGAACTAGGTGTTGAGATGTCATCAGAGGCGCCGAACATTTTGGTCCAATCAATCAATGGGAAATCGACTTTTTAAAAAAAACAAGGAATTATTGTTTTTAATAAATTCTTTGTCTTCTTCAGGCTCTGCTGCAATCATTAATCCATACATTGTAACAATACAGTCATGGTCAATGAGTGTAAATTAGAATTATATATCAGTAAGTGTATTGAATGCGTGTGTATGTGTGTATGTGTGTGGTACAAGTGTACAAGATGGGCTCACTGACTGACTAATTGGACTGGAATCAGCATAGAATATCGTATGGAAGGGCAGCAAGTCGAGTTGCTACACTCTATGTACCATATAAGGGAAGACAATAGAGAGAAAGAAGAAGAGATTCAAGAAGACAGTAATAAACAGAAATGTGAGTGAGGAAGAATAGGGTTCAATCACTCATATATTTATGAGTGAGATCACAACGACTGAATGCAACTGCACCATTTACAACGATTTCGTGCCATATCAACAGTAGTCTCCAGCCATTAGTCGGTTACAAGCGAAAACCGACAAACTGGTCGAAGAACCGGCCGGCGAAGACAGAACTTCAAGTGAACATAAACAAGACGGAGGTTATGAAAATAACCAACCAATAACAACAGCAGCAACATCCAGCGCCAATCACCATCAACGGGAGGGACTTGAAAGAGGTTACTTCATTCACTCACTTATCTAGGGAGCATTGTCTCAACTACAGGCCGTCAGAATGGACGAGGATGTCAAATCGAGAGAGAATCGGGAAGGCGAGAAACACATTCATCAGCCTGAAACCAATTTGGAAATCTTTGTCACTCAGCATCAACAACAAATTCGGTCGGATTTTCAATACAAACGTGAAGTCAGTCAGTTCATCTATACGGATGAGAAACTTGGCGGGCGGGTCACAAAGAATATTTCCAACAGGCTAACTCAAACCTTTATCAACAACTGTCTTCGCTGGCTCTATACTGAAGATCAGATGGCCGGGCCGGAAAGAATCACCAACGAGAAACTATGGCTAGGAACAAACAAAACAAGAACCAATCGCCAACCAACAAATATGCAGGAGAAAGTGGACACTCGCTGGAGAGGCCTCTGGGTGAGATCGCACGCGCTTCAGACCATTGTCGAGAGGAACCAGGCCGAAAGGGAAGCGGCGAGGGGGACATCAGGGCAAGGGTGACGTGGAGGAGATCGCGTGAATAGGAGTTGAAACAGTATGGACTAACATGGATGCAGGTGGAAAGTACAGAAGAAACAAGTGGAGACGTGCAGTTGAAGCCCTATATTCCACTAGGAACCCAAGAGAACAATAATAATAATAATTAGTTATTAGAATCCTGAGGACCTCAAGCGGTCACTCTGAATCTCAAACAAATTGTTTCAAGATCTTGTGAACTAATTCCAAGTTTTTGTTTTGACCCACCACTAACTGTTTTTCAACCTGATGCGCAATGTCAACTAGCATTGCCAGTCGAGGAAGGTGAGATGACTAGGCGCAGTTCGTGATTTGCATAGTTCTATGCTAACCTTCACTACTGTTCCCTTTAGAAACTGATATTATTCTGATCACTGGGTCTGTCATCTACTTCCTATTAATTAAGTTAGCAAGCGTGATTACATGATGCTAGATATCTATATACATACTACTGATTGATTTATTTGAGTATGTGGATGCCACTGACATCAACCAGATACAAGTGAGTTGAACGTTGTATTTGCCGTCCGTTTTACTTGTCTACGGTCGAGCTCACCAGTGGTGCATTCGGATTGACTCAGCTAAGAGAGCTGGTTTATGCAAATGGTTCCCAACTACTCAAACCAGTCAGTCAGTAGTATAAGGCAGCATGCGGTGATACTACTATCACTACTAGCCAGTTGTTCAAACTAAAATCAGAATGAATCTAGGGACCTAATTAAACCCCTGGGCCCACTGCCTGTACAAGCCGAATATTTAAAGCAATAGACCCACTCGTCTTTATATATTGTCAGTTACCTATTCTTTTACTATTTTATTATTAAACTCTTACAGGTTCTACCCCAAATAAAAGTCAATCCTTTAAAGAAGCCTTTCCAGCTCATAATCATTTTATTGTTGCAAGATATCAAAGTAAACAACGATGTTTATCTAAAAAGGTATGTGGGTGTGTTTTCTTTCCCATGGTTATCGCGTGTCTGTTGGTGTGTTTGTTTGTTTGTCTGTTTGTATGTCTCCTCGTTGAAAATAGTTGTGCATGGTGTTGACGGCGGTTGTGACTCAATTCTCAGCTTGGGAGAAGATTATCAAACAGAATGTAGACAGCTTGTAAGAATTAGAGTGTATGAGGGCTGCAGTATTGCCCGGACACCCATATTAGAGTTGTGGATTGTCCTCAGGGACTACCACCCCCCCTTTCGAACTTTTCACTTAAAGTTTGATCTACAAGGCAGTGGAGCAACGTCAGGAACTGCCATTTTCACATGGTTCTCCATGACTAAAACGGGTTCATGCACACTCGATTTGGATTCTGGAGTCAATTTACACAATAAGTTTAGAACCACGGATTTATTCTAGCTCACTCTATGTAGGTGAACCTGCATGTCCGCTTGTAAGCGCCAGATGTTCGAATTCTCTCTTTTAATTTTGTGAGGAACACTCCATTTATGGGAATGCGGTGAATAGGACTTACCTGGCAGAGGCTATGAATGGGGAGTCACGTGAGAGAGCATTTAGAGAGGAAGACTGAAATTTACCCACCACCGGACTGTGCTAGTCGTTTATGGGAGAAAAAAATTCGAAGCGCACTGTACGATTTTACATGTCATCTCTGCTCAGGGACCATAGAAATTTTCTCTGTATTGTTTCAATTCTAGTATATGTATGTGCATACATAAATATTGGAAGTTAATTAGTGGATGGTGACTAGCAGTGGAATTCAGGACAACGAGCATCTCGTCCTATTCTGGACTCGTCAGCTGGACATACCTGCATTCCTGAGTGAGTGATGATGTTCCCATCGGAGCTCGAACCCAGTGCCCATAGTTTCAAACGCCAAAGCGTTATCCACTAGACTATGGGTACTGGTTTCGAGCCTCGTTGGGAACATCATCACTCACTGATGAATGCATGTATGTCCAGCTGACGAGTCCAGAATAGGACGAGATGCTCGTTGTCCTGAATTCCACTGCTAGTCACCATCCACCAGTTAACTTCTAATTAAATGCCCAGACATTGTCGAAGCATCCGCACGAGAAGCCTGCATGTTATTCTGGCACCGAGCACTTCTGTCCAATCAATCGATGGGAAAATCTAAAATTGAATCAAATATATATACGTGTTTGCGTAAGAAATAAAGCAAGTGCTTTTAACGTAGAAGAAGACGAGAGAAAAAAAGAACCCAATCAATAAATCAATATGCAAATCAGCTGATAGCATAAAATAAGACAAAGTCATATTGACGTCACATGAAAAGCTTAGAAACAAAGGAAACAAGTGTCAAACAAGCCAACAGGCAGGTATGCAGGCAAGCCAGCACGCAAACATACAGATAGACAGACAGACAGAAAAACAAACGAACAAAGAAGGGGATATACAAATATGCATATTAAAGCCAGAAAGAAAAATAACAACGACGAGACACAATCAATAAATTCAAGTGTGAAATTATAGAAGAAAGAGAAATTAGAATTTGTAAAATAACTTTGTCAATTTTCCGGAGTATTCTATGCATACAAATGAGAGCATATAGATGGAGTGGAAGACTGACTGACTAGTCTCAACATAGAACTTTGCACAGATGTGCGCCAGTTCCAGTTGCCATTCCCCATGCTCCAAGTAGCACAGAAACCAAGAGAGCAGAGTAAAGAGACACTCAAAACAGAGATAACAAAAGCAAATGTGAGTGATGTAGATGGCATAGCTCTCCTTCCTCCTCCTCTTCTTCATCTTGTCAACCTTAGGCAACTTAGCCTCGGATGCCTTCTTCGCAGCTTTACCAGATACAACTTTTGGTGGCGTAGCCGTAGAGAGACGCAGAATAGTAATACGGCGGAAGGGCAAGAGTTTTGTGGAATATTATAAATCACAAAGAGTGAATGCATCTTCGTCAGCCATTGAGAGAGATTGTGACTCATATCACCAAATGTCTGCAATCACTGGTTTTTACCATCATGAGGACCTCAATCAGCCAGGCAGCAAGTCTGCAGCTCTCCACGTGGCTGGCTTGAACTAACTATTGTAGATTTCATTGACTGATGAACCCACGTTTTCGTTTGACCACCACTAGCCAACTCTTTTCCAACCTAATTCGTCCTATGTCAGTCAACTAATATTGCCCGACGGTTGACGAAGGCGGTAGCTATGCGTGAGTATCATATGTCTTAATCCAGACAGAGTGGAAGACAGAAATCTGTTCACCTTTTGGTCGTTGTCATCGTAAAGTGACGGCGTCACATATGGTATAGCAAATTGGTGCAAGTTAGAATTGATGAGTTGGCTATTAGATTCCATCCTAATGTACTTAAATGGTCAGTGAGGTCATCTGGTAACCCTAAGTGTCTGAGTTCAGTCCCTAATGCGATGAAGTAATGAATGCGTATTGCGTATTGAAAAGTTTGAAACTAGGGCGAAACATTTGTCCAGCGCTATCCTCAACAAAGTACCTTCCATGAACATTCACCTCACCTCAACATAGTGGACTGCATTGGTCACAACTTTCTTTCTACGACTTCAGGAACTCCATCCATATTGTTGGGATTTCAATTGTTATCATTCATAGGTTATTGAATTTCGACCCATTTGTCGGCTGAATGGTCGATAAGCTTTATCTCATAACCTGTAGCTTCTGGATTCGATCCCTGGCAAGCTTGTGTCTGCACACAGTTTAAGAGTGTCGAAGTGGCACGAAGCAGTTGTCCGATACTTCCTGGTTTGTTGAAATTATTATCAAGTATTGGTTTTTTTGTAGGGATTTAGTTTGATTGGTTGGAGGATTTTTTATATCATGAGGTGACATCAGCTAGAGAACCATTGAACAACCAGTACTGAAGTACTGGACAGCTGTTTCGTTAGCTTGGTTTGGGACTCTTCGGCAGTAAGCACCCACCTCCACAATTCGAACCCAGGACCCTCTGGTTACAAGGTGAACTAGCTCATAGACCATTATGCCACTGACCAGCCCACGAATTCTAACTTCTGCCAATTCACAACGTAGCGCGACCACTTCTCAATGTCTTCTTCGATGAATAACTGTCCTCACCTTCAACCTGGTGCACCCTACTGGTCATGGCTTCTCACCAGGACCCTAGGTCACTGTCCGAATAGGGCCAATCGCTAGTGAGCATAGTGAGTGTACTGCTGAAGAGTCCCAAACTAGGACGTAGGAAACGGTTGTCCAGTACTCCAGTGCCAGCTTTTCCAGTGGTTCTCTAACTGATGAAATCATTATCATCGTTGCTTTTTATCTGTTTTAGAAATAATGTTCCTTCTGAATTCAAAGATTATACCATTCAAATAATAATCATAGTAATAATATTTACACTGCCACTACTTCTAATAATAAATTTTATTTCAATTTTCTATTCTGTTTTTTTTCAGGCTAGTAATCGATTCAATTTACCGAAAAATTTCATCTTTTATCGTGTCAGAGCTTCACCTTTACATTTATCTTCACCACCGTCGACGTCATCATCGGAATCGCCGTCTAAGCAGAATACTAATGATACAAAGAGTAACCACTAACTAATATAATATGGCAGCTATAGATGTATGAATCCTGTGATTCTTTAATTTTTGTGTTCTTCCCCCCCCCCCCCCCAAAAATAAGAGAAACTTCCAAAAATCAGATTTATGAAATCACTACTTTGCGTGTGTGTGTGTGTGTGTGTGTGTGTACATACTCAGAGATGTGAATATTTCTGTCCTTGTAAGTTCATCAGTGATCTTGTTCACACACACACACACATAATCACAACTATAACAGTCCTAACTGCTCTGCTGTTGTCATCCCCATCATCTTGGCGAGTATGGATCCTCAAGAAAAATATCTACACCTACCATATCATGCCTTTCAAATCACATTACATCACATCACAGATACACGCACACACGCTCCCACATCCATACATACATAAATACACAAACGTATGATTTAATAAAGTCAATCGGAACAATGTACACAAAGTCAAAGATGGCATAACAGAGGAGAGAGAGAGAGACAGAATGAGAGATTACACCAGAGGACTAGATGCATCTTCATTTCGCCGGCATACTCTTCCTTTGACAATAGAACCTTTATCATCACATACATGCATGTCGTTCACACAATGGAAATTATTCTGCCATAATATATTCTTATTATTATATTTTATTTCTCTATTTTCTTATCATTGCAATTCTTATCCAACCTGTCTCCCTCCCTCTCTCTCTGTGTGTATCTTACGTAACCAGTGGATGAGACTGTTTATAAAAGTACAGTTAGAAACATATATATATATTACACATCAACACACTGTGAATTAACTCATGTGTGTGTATCTGGGATATAAATATAGTGAGCAAACAGGTGATTATTACACACATTTGTCTCCTATATACATACATGTATTTTGTAGTCAAGCGCCTGAGTCTTTCTCATTAGCTTTGAATGTTTGTGTGTGAGAATGTGTGCGTGCCTGCCTGCCTGTGTTTGTGTGTGTGCGTGTGCGTGTGCGTGTATTTGAATACATACTGAATTCATCGAATTGTGTCTACTTTTTACATCTGCCTATCTATCTATCTACCTACCTGTTTTCTATTCGAATGTCTGTCTCTCTATCTCACTTTCAAACAATACTTGTTTGTGGGTGTGTGTATGTGTGTGTGTAGGCACTCTAACACACAACCATCTTCGTCATCAACCTCGTTGTCATCATTTCCTCTGTTTTTTTTCTGTTCACATTATTTCTTTTGTTTTTTTGTTATTTCAATAGTTTTTTCAACTCATTTCGCTTTAAGAACAAACAGTTTACATGTTTACTTTTTACTTGTGATAATAATAATATTATATTGTACTGTGTTCCTGTGTAAATTTTTTGTAATCACCACATTAAATACTATGATATCCACTCAGAGAGAATTCATCAACTAAGTTCTTCCCCCCACCCTGCTCCTCCTGGACATACAATTCCGCTTATGTAATCTGATTGTGAAAGGGGTGATAGATGGTGTAGGGTTCCTGGTGTCATTGTTGTTATATATATATATATATATATATATATATATATATATATACATTTTATTATTCAGTTGATTTATGTTGTTCATCCTATTTTGTATAGAAATATGCAGCATGCACATGCCTTCCGCCCCCCACCCACCCCTAAACTCCTCATTATTATCGTCACCGTCGCTGTCGTCAACATCGTTTCTGCTAAATGCCTATTACTATTTTCCCTAATTTAATCTCTGTAGCTGTGCCCTCCTTATATGGAGTGTATTGTAATGTAGTAGTCAATACGAATAATTTTTATTCATTTTGATGTAAATTTAGTTTCATTTTTATTCTTTGAATTTCTGATTTCTTTTATAATTCCTGTTTTTAGGAGAACAAAAAAGGAGTTACTTACTGAATTTCTTCCACCCCCCTCCCACCCGAATTATAGACACACGCCCACACATTTTTTCTATAGTGGTGTGCACAGATACACACGTTGATTGATGTCTGTCGCTCTATCTATATGTGTCCGCCTCTCTCTCTCTCTCCCTGAGAATGAAAGAAATGCCTAATTTTGTGTATCAAACTATCTGTCATATCTGTGTCCCCTTCACTTACCCTCACCCACTTTTTGTTATTGCTATTGTTTTTCATTTAAGCGTGCTATATCTAAATGACTTTTAACTCATTTGTGTGTGTGTGTGTGTGCGTGAGTGTCTTTTCATGGTTTCTTCATGATTATCTTCATCATTTGTTATTCTATTCTATTGTATTACATAATACACAGAACTTTGGTATATATCTCTATTTTGTTTCTCTATGTCATTTCCTCAGTTATTAAGTGCTTATTTTTCTTCTTTTAGTTTAACATCCTAATTAACAGTTTTTTTGCAACCGGTTTATTCGATACTTTGATTTTTTTTGGTTTTTTTATTTTCACTTAATAAAATATTTGATTTTTGTTTGTGTGTGTATGCATATTATGTGCATGCATACACAAGTCTGTATACTTTTATTTGGTATGTGGTGATTTTTGTGTATCCTTTCAGGAAGCCACACCAAAAATGATGAGGTGAGATGATTCCTTTTTCCCTTTCTCCCTGGCGCTGTATTCAAGTGAACTCCTCTACTGTATAATTATCAGAAAATAACCACAGTGAACTACCCACCGTCTTATGTCTTCTCTTCCACGTCCCCCTCCCTCCTCCTCATCCTCGTCATCATTATCCTTTCCGATGATTTGGTTTGCCCCCACCTTCCTTCATTTCGAGACCCTATGTGTTTGTGTGTGTGCGTGTGTGTTAGTAACTAACTTCTCTTCATCCCCTCCATCCCTTACTCGCCCCCTCCTCATTGTCCTGGTTTGAATTGAGCCTCTTCAGTCCTCACATACACATACACATGCACACATTCAAAGACACATGGTCCACACATGAATATTATCATTGTTATTATTATTATTATTATTATTATTATTATTACTATTAATATTACTGTTCATAAAACTGAGTGACAATTATTGTGAACACTATGATAAACCTGAGAAACTTCTGTTGTTGCTGTTTGTTTGTTTGCCTGTTTTTTTTTCTATTGAAGCAATAAGATATATGAGATACGTAAGAAAAAAACAGCTATTAAAAATAAAAATAAGTAAATAAAGGTTTAAGTTTTTTTTTTTAAAGAATTATTATTTATTAATATTCGTTATTTGTTTTTAGAAGATAAAACTATGAGCAAAAAATCCTGTCTATCTCTCTATTTCTCTGTGTGTATACGAATTTTCATCAGAATACATATTTACATATATATACATAACATCGCTTGTTTCTATACATATATTTTATTGATCGGTGAACTTTAACACTTTCATATTGTGTGTGTGAGAGAGTGATAAGAATTATACTAATTACTTCAAGTTTCACTACGGATCGAGAGAACCATTGAAAATCACCAAGGAATTGACTGAAAAGTCAACTCTTTCACCCTAGTTTGGAAGTCTTTGGTACGCAAGACCTTCTGGTCACAAGGAAAGCTCCTAGATTATTCGACACTGGCAACCCCCGCTACTCGATCTAATGGCCAACCCATGAATTCGATGAATATTTGTCCCCATGTCAGACACCGGGTGGACCTCACTGGTCATAACTTGGCATTAGAACTCAACTCACTCCAAGTGACTTCGTCTTGTTTTTCTAAGTTTGCCCCCGGATTGATATCAGTTAGCGAAACCATTGAAAGTCACCAGGCCGGGAGGAGGGAAGTACTGGACAGTTAGCTGTTTCGTTCCAAGTCTAGGAGTCACGAGCATTACTCCCCCCCACAACAGGGTTTGGGCCTAGGAGCTTCTGGTTGTAGGTGAAGCTTTTAGACCATTCAGCTATCGGGATTCGACTCGACGACCTGTGAATTGGTTGGCGGGTCGTGCTAAAATCATGAATTGAGAATTTGCAGTATTTACATATTTGTAGCAATTATACTGCTTGTATATATCTATTAGAATCAAAAATAGGTAACCGCAAGACAGTCTGAAATTTTCACAAAATTTTGATATAGGTAATAACAATACCAGATGATAAGTAGCGGTGTTTATTCGCGCAGATTAATAGAGTTGGGTTTCGTTTTAATTTCCTTACTGACAAGTTCAACTGTTTACACAACAAGCGTGCTAAATGCCGCGTATGGTTGAATTACCATGTATAACCATACGAACATAAATTGTTATCATATTCCCTGTTATTTCAGTTATATTTAGCTTAAGGTTCCCGTTAGACTCGGTGTTTGTCATAATGTCATCACTTTTATATTTCTCAATAACATTGGGATTGAAATAAGAACGCCAAGTCGGACATAGATGCACTGATCTCGAATACTGCTTGACTACGCCAACGACATTATACGACAATTAAGTATTTTCCCCAGCCTGCTCTCTGCTAAGGCAAGAACACACAAAAACGTGAGATGAGAAGTATGTTTCCACATATCAGCCACAGTACATTTTTCACACAATGTATGATTTGACAGATTAACAAGGTTATGTCAATTAGTCTGTAATTCTGATCAATAAAAAAATAGTGGGTGTTATTTTAAGTAGACCAATTCTGATTGGTTTATTTTCCAGGCTGACCTTGGTCACCATATGACCGATAAAGGATAATCCGTTGTTTATCTGTTTATATATCAGTGTTTGGCTGTAGTGTTAAATAATTGTTCAAATAGTGGAGGGAACTTGTACCTTAGTTGTTTGATTTTTATTGAGTTATCTTCTGTGAGTTGGTTGACTTAACTCAGCAGCTTCCGTTGTCCTTACAGACAACATCTTCAGCACAGGTTTTAAAAATAAATCACATAACAAGAAAGTTCGAATTCCAAGTCAATAAAACTTGTCAATAGAGACGTAAATTAATAACTAATCATGACTGTAATTATCAGGAGATACAATTATTTAATCCATAGAGAATTCAAATAGGTTTTTTTTTCATAATAAAGCCTGCACTGAAGATGTTGTCTAGAAGGACAACGAAAGCTTCTCAATTAAATCAAGTAGGTCATAGAACTCAACTAAATCAAAATAATAGTTAAGCTTAGAATATGTAGGTAAAGAGAGTTCAGGAATTACTGTTACACTTAGTATCCATTAACTGAAATCTACAAATCAAAGCATGTGTCGATGCTTCCACAGTGGAATACTCTCCAACGACACAAGATAAAGGTTCACATTCAATTCGTAGTCCATACACGTAGCTATAAATCTGGCCTGCTTTGCTAGCCAGAAATGATGGAGGGCAGGAAGTATAAGGCTAACAACTAAATCGCCGTATAAGCAACGCTACCGCTACTGGAACTTCAAAACCTTTTCTCCCTCTTCTGTCTGGAATGACCTCTGTAATCTATTGATGAATTCATGGATTCGTGTAACGTGACTTATTGTGGTTTAAATGCAGAGAAATAATCCTCATATCCTACTGTATGGTTGTCTGAAACTTCTTTGAGACACGCTCAGTAGTCACGAAACACTCCAAAGACAGTAAAAAGACGATTGTTTGTGACTGGAATCCACATATGGTTCTAAGCAACAAGACTTACATCATGAAGATGCGAGCCGTCTATTGGACAGATTTAACTCCACCGACGCACTACTTAACTCTGTACAGAATCATATTAGTCTTACATGCGGGGAAGAAATTCGCAACCAGCTTGCATTTTTAGACATACTTTTGAGTCGGAGAGATGATGGTTCAATAAGACGATCAATCTACAGAAAGCCCACTTGGACAGGGCAGTACCTTAATTTTCACAGTTTCTGTCCATTACAGTATAAGAGAGGCTTGGTTAAATGTCTATTTAAGAGGATTCAACGTATTTGTACGGCTGATGTTATAGACCAAGAAAACGAAATATTGATGGATACTCTTGTTGAAAACGGATATCCTTTAAAATTTTCAAACAGGTGTAGAAGTCAATTAGTCTCTAAACCTACAATTTATACCGCCCTTAAGAAAAAGATTTTCATCAAATTACCATATAACCAGGAAATAAACAGTAGGATTTTGAGACAAAGGTTGAATTCAATCATCCGGAGAACCTACTATGCAGCCCGGCTTGTAATTGTCGAAGAAGCTAAAAATATGCTCCACTGCAAACCTCATAAGTGCACAGGTGATTATGTCACATCCCAAACTATTTACCAATTTTCGTGTGTGTGTGTGTGTGTGGTCACACATACATAGGGAGGAGTAATCGTGCTTTGCATGTAACGGTGGGAGAGCATATCCCAAAATAGTTAGCAAAACAAATGAATTGTGGAAAACCAATAGATGCAGGTGTCAGACTACCAACTTTGTCTATAGCTAAACATCTAATCGAGATGAACCATAGAACTGATGTTAACTCAGCCTTTAAAGTCATCTATAAAAACGGTCAAGGCCGTTTACTGAAATACGTTGAGGCTATAGCTATTCATAAATTTAAGCCCCCTCTGTGTATTCAAAAACAGTTTATTATTACGCTTAACCTACCTTGGCAATCCTTATTTGATTGGATTACCAAACGTTATGTGAATTATTCCTAATTGCTTATT